TACTTTTATCCCATCACTTCAGGTTATTCCTCTAAATATACTGAAGGAAGATCGAAGAAAAGACATTTAAAACTTTTTTTTTAACTTCTATATTTTCCTTTGGAGCCTGGATCACATACAAGCAATACAAAATATCAACACATTGCATCACTTTCATGTTGGATTTTGCGCCTTCACTTGTGAGGCCAACAGATCCGCAACTTTGTTCAGTAATGCGGTATTGTATTTGGCGGAACTGAAGGGGCAGAGAAGTCTAATATATTTGGAAGTTCTGATTTGGTATTTTTTGAATGTATAATAGTCCGTGGTACAGACCCCTTTTTATCGAATTATTAACATCCGGCTGAGACTTAAATAATTTCATCTCATCGTAACCTAAAACTGTTTTAATTACGAAAATTCTTGGAATTGGGGCGTTTTCAATCTGGAGGGAGGCAAACTTTGTCTATTTAATTAGGTACTAAAAACTCGAAAATACATATTTGCTTTCTACTTGGATCGTAAGATAATTTCATCACAAAATCGATAACAAAAGTGGTCTACAAAAATACTGGGCCGTTTGTCCTATATAACCTCGTTATTTTGAAAATTTGGGGATGTAGGCATGCCAAACGGCTCAATATTTTTGAAGGCCACCTTTTTTCTCGATTTTGTGATAAAATTAGCTTACGATCCAAGTAGCAAATGAGTATTTACGATTTATTTAGTACCTAATTAGACAGACAAAGTTTGCCTCCCTCCAGATTGAAAACGCCCCAATTCCAAGAGTTTTCGTAATTAAAACAGTTGTAGGTTACGATGAGATGAAATTATTTACGAAGTTTCAGGCGGATATTAATAATTCGATAAAAAGGGGGTCTGTACCACGGACTATAATTAAAAAAATAAAATATGGTTTGAGAAAAAAGTTTGTTTAAAGGACCTTATATTTCTCGTTATCTAAGTTTTATTCTAAAGTGTTCAATTTTTATTCCTCGTTTTTATCTTTTCTTAAAAGACTCGTGAGGTCTGTTTAATTATTTTTTATATATTTTAACTTATTTTATAAGGTTTACCATTCTAAGATATTATACTAACTTATCTATACAAATTTATGATGTAACTTACTTTTGTATTGTAAACAAAAAGTATTGTATTGAAATTGTGATCATTGAAATTGATATTGTAATATTCACATATTACAATGACTCACAAACATAAGAAAGACAAAAACTCATCTTCATCATACTGACAATCAGCTTACTTCTTATTTGTTCAAACATTTTCAAAAGGTTATTGTACAAAAGACTTGTTGATATACTAACAAACACGCAAATAATACCAGACAATCAAGAGTGACGGACTACGTTTCCACAGCACTAGAACAAATATTGTATGCAACTGGCATATTTCTGGATATTACTCAAGCGTTTAACAGAATTTAGCACCAGTGTCTTCTATTAAACTCAAGAGAATATCCTACTGCCTTCTACAAACTTGGACAAAAATTGAACATATACTTACTTACTAAAACCTATTTGGACTAACGCATCACAAATATTCGGAACAGCTAAAAAGATTCATATTAACAAATTTCAGATTTTTCAAACTAAAATATTCAGGAAAATTACAAAAGGACCTTGATACGTTAGCTACATAACATTACACACAAACCTTCACATGCTGATTGTTAACGAACACATATGAACCTATTACAAACAATTCCATGACAAATCACAAGCCCGTCCTAACATACTCGAGAATGACATGTCCACAACACACATGCCAGGCACGTCCATAAAAAGTTGAAAAGGAGCTGAATGAGGGATCTCATCACCTAATAATTAATGTAAATATCAGGCCAGGACATGCCGCAGTGTACTACTCCCCTCATACTTCGCAAGCCATTGTATTTACAGAAATGATCATCAAATTCACTTATTGCTGACAATTTTTTTGGCAGGTGTGAATGAAGATAATAACTTTAAAAACCAATTTTAAAAAGGTTTTCTATCATTTTTTATATTTATAAAGCATTTTATCATTTGATTTATTAATGCCTTTTTTACCTCCCTCAAAATATGAAATATAATGAAAACTAATTACAAAAAATACATCGTTGATTTACAGTAAAAAATCAAGTTTTTGATGGATCTAAGCTTTTAAGAACGTTTTTGTGAAAGTTTGATAAAACAAATAGCACTAAAATGAAACCAACACAAATATATCAAATTAGTCAGAACAAATGCATGAACTCTATTCACTATGTTGGTAAGCCTTAAAGGAGTAGCCTGAAGTGAAGATGAGAATATTGCTAAGGCTAAAATGGGGCAGAAGTTTGGTCTGTGGAAGCATTTATTCAGGGAGTGAAGGTATCGCCATCGAACCATTGGGTTTCACTTAGCCTTTTATTATTATTGTGTATGTATGAATAAAATTATGAGAACTAACATTACTATCAGTAAAAATATATTCATGTTTGCAAAGAAGAATAATTGCTATATTTTGTTGAATTCATTTTATTTCTTCACCCACATCTGTCATAAGTAATGACAATCAACGAGTCTGATGTTGGGAAGAATAGTTGTAGTGGCGTTGGAAAGGTGTAATAGAGAAGACTGCCCAGCTACACTCCTTCCTATCTTGATTTTAGTATACTTTTTAAGCGAGGAGATCCCTCATCCAGCTTCTTTTAAGCCTTCTAAGTGTGTTTTCGGGCATGTTAAATCAAGCCATGCCTTGAATCAGTGAGTTGGTATATCCTTGTAAACTATTGTAAAACCTTTTTTAGTGTGTTCTTATATGGTCATTAACTGCTGGCATCAGTAAGCCTTTATGTAAAGTATTGTTACCAACCTACCAGGGAGCTTTGATTATAGTCCTGAATTTTTTATAGAAAAGTTTCTAGCATAGGTATGTGTATTTTAGACTGTCCATCTCTTTGGATATCTGTAAAGCCCAAGTCCAAAAGGACTTTGAGGATAATAATTGAAAATACAATTAATTGGTAATAAATAATTAACTTTTTAACTAAAAATTACATTCCAGAACATAATATAACTAAGTCGTAGATTTAGCAGTAGGAAGAAGCCGTCATTTTATTTCAGAATGTAAACAAAGAGAATAGTTTGCGTTGAGTATTCTTGTAGAATGTAAAATATTATGTTGGGTAAATGCTGTAGCATAAATCTGAATGCTCTAATATTTAATTTGACCAAAATTTTAAAAATATTTAGGAGTAAAGTTCGGTAAAACAGAATGCGGAGCAAAAAAAATACATGATTTTGTAATTCTAACCATATAAAATGTATGTCGTTGATGTACAAATAGGTTTTGAAATTCAGAGGACTATAAAATAGAGAACAGTTTAAAATTAAATGAACAATAAAATTTTATCAAATATAACAATAAATAATTTTGTCTGAAATTAACTTTTATTGAACTATCCACGCCTTAGGAAAGACATTGGTGAGTGACTCACTCTTTTCTTATTAACACTGATAATATGCAATGAATACTGGAAAAAAAAAACCTGTAACACAACCCACGAAGAGTCTTGGATTCAGTTTATTAGAGAAAATAAAAGAAAAAGTAAAAAACAGCTATTTAGAGAAAGTACTGATACAAAGTCAACGGTTGTGCAGAAAGATCGGGACAGGATCACACTCAACCGCCAGGTTTTCCCCCTTAATCAACTATTTAATTAAGGGTAGTACCCACTTTGTAGAGGAGCCCCAGGGGGTCTCCCTTCCCCAGGGTCACCCCACGGCCAATGAAACAGAATAAATAACTTTTCTACCATGAGCCGGGGTTCGAACCTGGGACCTCGAGCATTGGAAGCTCAGTGCCCTACCACTGAGCCACCCCCACTCCCTATGGAATTAATACTACTAACTACAAACATTTCAGTCCCTCTATCACAAAAGGCAAATAGAGACAAGAGTTATGAAATCCGGAATTTTAAGTCTAGATAGAAATAAAAGTTGAATAGAATAAAACGGAGCATGAAAACAGCAACTTAAGAATCACTGAAACAGAATAAAATCTATTTGATTCCTTTATCATTTCTTTCTTTCTCTGAATAACAGGATATTACTAAATAATGTTTCTTCGTCAAATATCAGGATGCTACAAGGATATTGATTATTTACTTTTTTTCAAGTTTGAATTTTATTGAATTAATTATATATATATATATAATTAATTCAATAAAATTCAAACTTGAAAAAAAGTAAATAATCAATATCCTCGAGCTATATATATATATATATATATATATATATATATATACATTATTATTATTTATCGCTCCCCCATCCCCCCCCCCGAAAAAAGCAAGCAAACTATCAAGCATATAAAATGAGTGAGAATTAGAAAAATCGCAAACAATACACATTTATTGATTTCAGCTAATTATTTTTTTTCCTAGATAAAGTAGCTCAAACATTTATTTTTTTTTATGGACTTAATTTTTTACTCAAAATCCTATTTTGCCAGTAATTTATCTCTTTTTCAATAATTAAAGCATAATTTAGTTTTTCTTATGAATTTGTATGTTTATTGTGTCCTCGATTTTGCTCTTTTATAATTTTTGTAATATTGAGTGCAAACATGTTTATATTTAATTTCAAAGTACACAAAATTTACTACAGCTTTTATAGAAAAAATATAGGATACTTGCAAATTAATTCACAATAGAAATAGGTAGGCACTAAGTTTATGTTTATTTTCAAGTAAGAAGCATAAGTACAAATTATTTTTGAAGAAAATTTTTCCTGACTATAAATTTATAAAAGTTGATCGTAATTATTTTTTGTTAGCTATTAAGAATATTAAAATTAGAGATGTTCAGAAATTTTAAATTACTTTATTTGACCTTCTTAAATTATATTCATAAAACAAATCTTTTGTAAAATTATATCAATCTCTGTTTTGAAATGAATAAAATGGACATAATACACCTTAAAGTAAAATACATCACTAAATCACATCTAATGTACACAGGCAATAAAAAAACAATACAGTTTTCAACAATTTTATTATCCATTAGCACCAAATATTTCAAATGTGTTAATAATTAAATAAAAAAAACATTCAATTAAAAAATAATAAAATCATTTAATTCGAATTATTTACATAATTAATTCACAACCTGCAAGGCAAAAGGATATTGAGCAAATGGTATAAATTATTAACAGAAATAATCTCATCTTCACAGGAATAAGGGACAAAAATATTTAAATTGAATTTAATAAAAAAGTAACAACAAAATAATGATGTGATTACTCCATTGAATTAAATATCAACAGGAATATTCCTTTTATTTTGTCTATTAATATTTTTTAAATATACTTAGAATAAAAATGTTTTAGAGTATTGTATTATAGTTAACAGAAAAATATCCATTGTAAAATTAAAACATTAAAATTTTAATTTATACCTGCAATGAATCTAATTTAAAAAATTAATTATGCAATAATTTCAAGCATGGCACATATGTACTAAACAAGATAAGTAATTAACTAAAAGTAAAATTGCCACTCAAAAATGTTTGGAATAAAATTAACTATATTTTAATTGTTTTTTTTTAAAATCTATGAAAAGCTAACAAAATTAAAAGCCGTTTAAAATAAATAAAAATAGTAACATAAACATTAAACACAAATAAATAACTTTGTATCAATTTAAAAATCAGTACAGTGGAAATATAAAAGGCCTGGAAGACAAGTAAACCATATCTCAAAAGCACACTTAATACAAAGAATTAAAATAAAATAACATTCTGTGAGTTATATATTCAAAATATACTTCACAAAATATGTATAAATAATATTTAAGGTGTGTGTTATAAACACCTTGCTTTGGGCTGAAGGAATAAGTAAATAAAAAAATATAATACTTGAATTAAACAGCAATGAGGGTTGATATTAAAATTATTAATTTTTTTAATAAGATGAATTCCAAAATGATCCTAGTGCCTGTTAGGTAGTGGATTTTAGACTAAAATTATAATTTCCGAATTAAAATTACAATTGTTTATTTCACAACTTGATTCAACTGTACATGAAAAAATATTATACATTTTGCAGTTTTATAATTGTTAAAAGAGATAGAGGTGAAAATAAATCACCATAAAGATAAATAAATAAAATTTAATTAACACAGTTAAAACATAGAATGTCAATCTATCTCTCTTAACTGACCAACTTATAACTTTTTAATAAGGTATATTTTATGTAATAAACAAAAAGCAAAACTAATGCAATCACAAATTAATTTTTCCATGTTTATATATTTTTTTCTTTTCTTTTTTTTTTAAGATACCACAAATACTTTTATTATTACTCCTGTTGAATGACTAGTTCCAAAAAAATACAAGAAAATGCATTAAAAACAACTCATATAGAGAGCAAAAGAAATCACAAAATGGAAAAACAATCCTCCAAATATTAAAAAAATGCTAAAAAATAGTAGCAATAAACAAATACTGTCAGTTAAGGTAAGGGAACCTCTAAAAGAACTTCATAAATATATATATTGTAGAATAAACAGAACAAAAAAAGAGTGAAAAACTGAAATGCAAAGCAATATGAAATTTACAGCTCTAAGCAGACTATACTTTGGTTAAATCAGAGGATTTTGACTTTAAAAAAACAACTAAATGATGGAAGACTCCAACTTATAATACATCTGTTGAATTAAAATAAAATATATTTTTACAATTAAATAAAGGGATGACATCAATCAGAAAAAATTAATACATTAAATATCTATTAAACTATTATCCATTAAATCACAAATTATAAAGTCTTTTCTGTTGTGCTTCACAGCTCCTAATACCCTACAATAAACCATAGCATAAGTAGGAATGTAACCACATTTGTGTTTTTATAAAGAAAAGTGGCTTAGGGAATCCAATGCTCTATTCTTATTTTGCTAGCAGGTGAACCTTTTTATTTATTCTATTCCTCTCGGTAAACTTAATTACTGTCATCAGGCTAAAATCCTACTTTCCATCTATGCCTGGTCTATTTCTATATCTCTCATTAGCAATACCATGCCTCATAACTTAAAGCATTATTTCCATCTCTGTGATTCAGGGCCTACTATATCGAACAAGTTCAGGTTTTGCTACTTCAATCTGACATGTTTAGCATTCATATATAAATCAATAAAAAAAAAAAATAAAATTTATCATGTAAATAAAATTAATTTTGAGCTTCAATATGAAGAGAATTAGTATAAACAAACATTTACAAAAAAAAACATATGAAGTAATATTTAACATTTTGACAATTATTATTTGCATGTTTGTTATTGTTACTTTTATTTTTTATTTAACAGTTTCAATTTATCTTTAAAAAGTCAGGAAATAGTTTTTATTTTTATTAAACAAACACAAAAATTATTGTTCTCCACAAGTCATTTTCAGACCATATTCCTCTTATTGGACATACTTACTTGTATAATAAATAAATATATTTGATATTTTTGATAAATAAATGAAAATTGACACACCCCATTATGTTATGTACATCAATATGAACTATCTACAAGGGACAAAACTATTATATAAATATAAACTTTTAAAAATAATTTTTTTTAAAACCCTCTGATTTAACCAAAGCTTTTCTGTCGAAGCTACACTTCCATGATCCATCTATAAATCTATATCTATATATTAATAATCTCACTTATATCATTGTTTATATAAAATATATTTATGTTTATATATATATATATGTATTGGTATTGTCTACAAGCCTAATTCTATATTGATTAATTGATTATTGTTTCATCCTTTATTGATTATTCCAGGGGCTTTTAAGACCATCACCCTTTGACTCTTTAAGATATACAATTCATTACCTTTGATTCTTATTAATATTAAAAAGAGTACCAATATATTAGAATATACAAATTCATTATTTATTACACATATCAGTCAGAATAAGGCATTACTTTAGACATGGGGCTTATTTTAAAAGCTTAATAATGACTTACTTTTAGGTGAAGTTGAACATTTGTACTATGATGTTACAACTTTGTAGTTAAACAGTTTTTTTTTTTTAATTTGTTTTTTTCAGAGATGTATTCATCATCATTATAACACCAAAAACAGAGGCTTAGAAATTGCAAATAAATACAAAACAATAAAATTCACATATTAAGATATAAAAACTACAATAAACTTATGTGACAGCTAAATCTTAAAACTGATTTATAGCATACAGCTATTTTAATTAATATTTTGAAATATTATTTGCAGAATTCACTACAAATCATGTAATAACTGAAAAAACTAAATGCATTTTTGTCAAAATGCTGATCCCTGAAACTGATATAACATTTAAATGATAAATAATTATAATTGATCAAATCACTTCAATTAATTATTTGCTTGAAGAAAATAACATATGTTTATCATCCTAAATTTTTCTAACCAAAATAAAAATGATTAAACTTAAAAAGAAAAGTTAAGAAATAAAGTAGGAACAAGAGTGTAAACAAAACATTTTAAAAAAATTAAACTTGTTACTAAATAAAGGAAAAAACACAGAAGTAGATATTGGAACGATGGTGTTATCTATTTTCTATGACTCATTTAAAGTCATTTATAGATGTATATATAATAAAAAGCATAGCTGTGACAATCATTACATAAATGAACACCATTTTGTTTGTATTTAGTATTTTAAATTTATCTGGAATCAGAACCTTATGCACCAGACCAAAGTTCATTTTTGTTTTTTAAGTTTTGTGTTTGATTGTCAATCATTATAATTAAGGTTGTGAAATGCATAAATAATAAACAAAGTATTCACCCCTCTAGTAGTAAACGATATTGAGCTTATTATTTTCTTAAATTATATTAATAAACTTATTAAATTATTTAAAGTGGACAAATTGATTTGTAAAACATGCAACAGAGGGCTAAAAGAGCAGAACTAGTAATTTTCTCAATCACAACCATATAATGACTCTTGGGCGTCATGAGGACAGCTTAATGCTTCATCCTCCAAATTTGTATTATGATATGTTTTTGGTTTAATAAAAAAAAAAATAAAAAATTACAATTACAATATTTTCTCAAGATAATTTTATTCAGAATTGTGTTGATCTCATAAAAATTGAAAAGAGATTTTACTGTTCAGCTCTTTTTTTTTTTTTTTTTTATTCAATTTGTTATCAAACTAAATATGAATAATCAACGAACCTTGTCTACATCATAACTTTCTTCATGAATTAAAAATTGTTTTAAGAAGTGTTTTTACATTAATATTTTGATAGCAATTTTAAGCAGTTAATACTGCAAATACCAACAATATTAAACAGTTTTAATTATATGAACAGAATAGTAGTAATAAAATGAATAAAATAGAAAGCAAACTGAAATAATTCTTAGTAGCATTACAATTAACTCGATATTGGAATAACTTTGGAAAAAGGATTCATAAGATTTTGACCAGATAAATGCATAACTTTGTCACATGGATACTTAAAAGCATTTTTAAAGATAAAGCTGGAACATTAGAATATGAAATGATTATATAAAGGCATCCGACTCACAGATGGTTGTGATGATAATTTAAGTAATTTACAACAATAAAATATATTTATATTCTCTAGTAATTATCATTTCATTAAAATTTTATGTTTTCTAAAATTGTCACTAAATTCATCTGTTTCAATCATAAAACTAAGATAACAAAAATTAAATACACTAAAAAAAAAATTAAAGTAAAATCTTAAACATAACAAGTGAATCGCCAAAATATCACAAATATACTTGCCTAGCAAGGAAGTGATTAATTTTCATTTATGACTTTCAATATTCAACCATGAGTATCACGATAATTGCACATTATTGGTTTAATGTTTTCACAGGTACAGTAATTATGACACCTAAAGAGTCAAAGAATTTTTCATTTGAGATAAACTTTGCTTTTTCTAACTCTCGAGTCTACTGAAAGATTAAAACATTTTATTATGCTTTTAAATTTGAATTCCTGCAGGTCGTAAAAGAGAAACTGTACAAGAATCACCAGTTTCTTTACAAATAAATCAAAATGTTAATTTTTTTTTTAAGTTGCTTGATTTTAGGTGATGTTTGTTTAATAATGTATTATAACTTTCCAGTGAAAAAAGTATCAGTTCATAAATTTAAAGAACATGTCAATTCAAAAGGTTCATATTTATCAATGGTTACACATAAACTATAAAAGTTAAACTTTAAAAAATAAATTTTGAGAATATTATTTTATCAAGGATGTGGGAAGAGAATTGCTAAATCACAAAATAAATCTGAGAACAGGAAATCAAGTAGCTATGAGAATAATTTTTTTGTATATAAAAAAATAAAGATTGATTTTTAACATTTATTAACATAAAGCTTTAATCAGTTCATCACAGGTAAATTTTAGAATGAAAAACAATCAGATGCCAATGAAAAATGTCAGAAATATTTATGGTGAATCATTATTATATTTTTTGCATTCAAACACTAAATAGCTTTGAACTAAGCCACAGGTGGGGAACAGCGGCCTCCGTGACATAGTTGTGGCCGCAGAGGCCGCATGTGGCCTCCAAACATTTGTGTGCGATATTTATTAATCTAGTGCTGGAATTAATTAATATTTAATTATTTAAGTTATAAAAATTTGGAAATTAATAGATTTAAGTTGAATGTATGTATACGGGTATGTGTATTTAGTGATAAATAAAAATAACAGTAAAATATGAATAATTGTCCTCCATTAGCACTGCCTAACCTTACTGTGGCCTTAATGGTAAAAAGGTTGCCCACCTAAGAAATAATCCGCATATTCAGTATTTCAAGAAACAAATAAAGTAATGTCTACTTAACACAGGTTTAATGCATATCACTTAGTATACTTTCGCTATTGATTAATTAATTTAATGGCTAATAAAGGTTATTCACATAAGATGGAGAGTGAAACCACCGTCATCTAGCAAAAGTAATAAAAATGCAGTGAATTAGACCTGTCTGACAAAGTTAGCAAGAAGATAAGAAATAAAATCGTTAAAATAGAGAATAATGTCCTTCTCTCTTTAGTAGCTCTTTACGAAGATTTTGGCAATATGAGCATTCTTGAAATGGCATAATTAACAAGTCTGATGATAATTTAATTAAATGATACATTAAAGAGGGGGAAGCAGCCAGTGAGATGACTCTGAACCATATCAAAGAATATATGGCAAATATATTATGTCAGAGAAAAGATAGGAGACAGGTATCCAAAAATGAGCAGGTTGAGAAAAGTACCTCACGCTGACTGTACTAGAGAGCAAGAAGAAGAATGAGATGTGATGTAGTCAAGAGTAGCACACCTTCAAACTAGTAATTTAAAAAAATAAAAAAAGGTTCATTAGGATAGCCCAAGTTGTACACACAATCCAAGTTAGCGGAGATTCAGCGATTGTTTCTTACAAATTAAGAAAAATGGCACAATTCACCTACTTGCATTACCTCAATGAAGGTAATGTCCCTAAAGTATAATTCAACATATAGCTAACATATTTAACTACTTGAAGCCAAGACAACAGTTAACAACCTATCAACATCCACCTATGGCCATAACAATACCTAACTAAAATAATCTTTTAAAGTCCTTGTTTTCTTATATGGTTAAATAGTAAAGAAGATATTATGAAAAAGTGAAATAACCAATATTCAAATTAATGAGAAAGGAAGGGTACTCAATAATCAGACTGATCTTACAATGAAAATTTTAAGGCACTGTCGATCCCTGGTGCAGCGGGTGCTAGTATTTGAGGTGGGAATTCAGCATGGCAAGTGAGATTTATACTTCATTATGTCAATCCCTAACAGTTTATAGTTAAAGGTTTCCACCTTATCCAGGTCTAACCAAAGTGGGAATTTAAAGACTCATTTTGCAGTAACGCAACAAAATAAACATTAACTGACCTAGGCGGAAGTCAAAAAAACATCTTCTGAATAAGATCCTCTGCAACTGTTTACTACCTAATCTACTTTGATTACAGATGGTAGTGAATTTTTCTGTTTACGTAAATGAAAATACCCACAAAAATACATATCACGTGTAAGCTATAACTAGCATACTTAAAACATAGGAAAGTTATGAAAACTTTATGGAATCCATAAGCTTATTTATGAGTGGCAGTATGTATTGTAGTATGTATCTTGACTCTTCAAGAAGAAAAATTTCTTTATTAAATAAATATTTCTGTAGAGTTAAAATTTTACTGATAGTCAAATCCTCAGTTAAATTTAGATACTAAAGCATTTGCAAATTATTGATTCAATCAATATAATGATCTTGTGATCCAGCTAATTATTTAAAATATAATCTTACAAATAATATAGATCGATAATTAAATAGAATAATAAAACTTAAAGTAAAAAACAAAATATTTGAATTTCACAAAAACATACTAACTGAGAATCGAAGAAGCAAAGTTTTCTCAAACAAAAAATAAAACAAATCTCTTATTTAAATTCTAAACCTACTCCTATTATTCCTAATTATCATGCAGTATATACAAGGCTCATGTTATTTTACCATGCAAACTATCCTCTTATAATATTATATGATAATAGTAATCTAGCTTCTCTAAGAGTTATTACATCTACAGAAGGCAGTCTAACTATCAATAGGCCTGTCATTATAAAATTTTACAGCCTTTCGGTGGATTAAAATTTTTAAAAATCTCACGTTTCATTAAAAAAATAAACAAACAAAAAACTTAAAAATTAAATTAATTACCACCTGAGTGATGAAATAAATACTGCGGTTTTGATTGATATTTAAAATGCTTAAAGGAGGTATCATTAAAAAAATTTTACAGGTAAACAGAATGAGTGATGTGTCTTGTGCAAACAAATAATACCTTCCTCAAATATCGAAGGTAGGGCCCCAAACATTAAGATATCCCTGATTTAAAATCAAAATAAATTAAATTAACAAATAAAATATGTTCGCACTACATTTTTCATTTCACACAGTATCCTCTTATAGTAGGTAAAAAAAAAAATAATAAAAATAAAAATAAATCAATAGATTATGCCAAATGTTGGCATAAATTGATAAAAAGATAAATAAAACATGTATACCAAAGGTACAATATTTTCATCAATAAAATTCGGGTGCTTCCGAAAAGAAACCGCATCACAAAACAAATCCTTGAGCGGTTTTTCGTATACAAAGTATTTATCGACCCACTCCTGAAAAATATTTAAAAAATAAAATAATTATCCTGATCAATAATTATTGTTAATACATTATCATAAATAATTTACTTATTAGAAATCAAAATATTGGCAACCAATGTAACAATACTATCTATAACTTAAAACTTTATAAATTATGTATGTTATAAATTTTATATTAGAAAACATGAAGATTTTACGACAGTTTCTACTTTTATAATGGACTTCTAAATAAAATAAAATTTTATAATATAAAATAAAGTTCCATAAATATTGAATTTGTTTTACTGATGTAAGTGTAATTTTTAAGAAGTGATAGTCTCCTTCCAGATCGATGATATAATTTTTTAAACAGTACGAATATTTAATTTTTCATGCATATCAAAGTCGGATCAATTTTAATTCATACCAATTTATTAAATAATGTGAGATTAATATGTAATGGCTCAATATGATTCATCAAATTACAAATATTTTTAGTTTTTATTTATTTGAAATTGCAACATAAATTTTATTTATGTGCCAACAGCAATTAATGATTGAATTGTGTAATTTTAATGGCACAATTAGGAGCTTTTGATAGTGCTCATGGACTGTTAAAATGTTTTTCTATATAAATTGTCACAATTTCCATATAACTTAATTAATTTTTTTCATTTGATTTATTGTGAAATTAATTTTTTTTATATTCTCAAAAAAGAATTATCCTTGGATGTAGAAAAAAATTTAGGGGGGGAAATCTTGATCCTGTAACATTATGTGGTATCTGAAGAGTCGGCATGTTACACGAAATTGAAAGAAAAATTATTGAAAAGCACTATCTTATTAAAATGTTTGAAAAAAATAAGCAATAATTAAAATCGATAAAAATGAGATGAATTACAATAAATTTCAACACGAAAAATGTAAACCACAGAGCCAACAAAATTAAAGAGTAAATAAGGAAAAATAAACTGAAGTGTCTGGCAGGCAACCAAGATCTTTCTCTAACTTATAGACCCAATGATAATTTTTTTTATTTAAATTTAAATAAACATTGTTTTAAAGAAATATGCACCCATACATGAGTTACTTTCATTAAATAAAGCCCCTACTGAAGACGTTAAAAAAATAAAAAGACCTTATAATGATTTTAAATTAGGCAAATCCTCCTACATAAATTTGAATAATATTTTCACTAAGCTAAAATTGATAATTATTTAAATTGAATAGTCATTTAATTATCACTTCTTATTTAACATAAACTGTGATCCCTATGAAGTTTCTTGTTGCTTTTGAGATTAACTGACACCTTTTTAAATATTTCCCATTACTTATGAGACACACTTTATACTTCTAATTATCAAATATAATATTATTATATTAGACGTTTGATGAATTATAGGAAGACCTTTAAGAAAAAATTCTAAGCTGGCAGATTATGCTCAAACCTCGTGAAATATACTATATTGATTTTTTTCAATATTTTGATTTGTTATTCATTCTTTCAATCATGTGCACTGATTTGTAATTTTATAATTTTCACTTAGTAATTGGTATTTGTAATTTAATTTTACTATTTCAATAAACACTAAAAGGTCTTCCTTTAAATTCTAAATATGAAATAAAAGAACAAAGCAAATTTCAAAAACAATTATTTCTGAACTTACTTTTATGCTATTCTAGTCACCAATGTGTTTTCTGTAATGTCTAACGAGTTCTTGCTTAGTAACAAACCTAGCTGCACACACATCACAAATATAAGGCCGAACCTGAGAATGTTTCCGTTGAAAGTGTTCCATTAAATTAACCTGAAAATAAAAAGACAATTATAATAATAAAAATAATCAAATTTCTGCCCTTCTCTATTAATTATTTCAAATTAAAAATAAAACCATACAAACTAGCACAACCTCAAACTTCAACTGCAAATTGATCAATTGGAATAAATTTACCAAAAATAGTTGATGAAGATTTAAGTATCAACCCTATTATAATAAATCAGAGTAATATCAGTTCCAACATTGATATAGATATAAATATTTTGAATAATGGAAGATAAAAATGAACAACTATAATGCAACAATAATAGAATAAAAGAAAATAGTATTGTGGTCAGAATCTAAAAAAAAAAGTCAATTCTATGGCTAAAATACTTATTGGTGTAATTGTAGCTTAGGGGAGAGCAAGAAAATCCTCATTATTTTAATTATTGTTAATTTTTGTGAGTGTTTCTTTTAATGTATATGTTGAATTTTGCTACTTTTTATTTTTATTCTTTTTCCAACAGAAAATGACCATATGGTGATGACTATGATGGGTGGGGCAGAATTTTCCACTTCAGCGTTTCTAAATAAGTTTTAACCAGGATTGCAACATGAGGCCAAGAGTTATCATACAGTGAAAGTACTTTATAGTGTCTCCGCTTGTATTGTGGTCGCTTATGATTAAGGGCTTAGCTCAAACATATGAATTGTAGTCTATAGCGATCTCCTATGATGGTTTCATTGGGCTGAAGCAGCTCATGATAAACAACATCCTGAGCTGATCCCACCAAATGCAAAGAATAAGCTTGGAACCATGAATGTTCGGTATCGCGGCCAATGTTGAGGTGTGTCTAAACAAGATTAATAGTAGTAGGTAGGTGTTCTTCCAGCAAGTGAATTCATCAACTGATTGACAGAGAACCAAATTTAATGTCTAAAATGTAAAACATGAGTGCGAATGAAATTTTTGCCTGAATACAAAGTTAAGAAATAAAATTTAAAAAAATTCTGCTTAGTGATTTTTATTTATGCAAATAATCGGCAAACCTATCACATTTAGCAAAGTATGACAGAGTACTAGTTAGACAGCCTTTTTAAGCTAAGAACATATAAATCAGGATGAAATACAAGATTATAAAAAGAAAAACATAATGAGGATTTGGGAAAAACTCATGTTACATGCCAACAACTATTGATACAAGTATAACTTAATAATTTAATAAATACTACACAGAAAAAAAATTAAAATACTATAATATATATCTTTGGAGACATTCTTAATAAAAATTTAGAGACCGGTATAACATTTGTTAAAGTGCCAGAAAAGAATAACATAAGAAATGAAGCTGATTTAAATACTTTTAGAATTAAGGGCTCGGGGAGACATTAAAATAAATACATCAATAAACAAATAGAAAAGGAAAATTGAATAATGATAAAAAATGTAATAGGTACCTTGTGTCTAAATGATTTGTGACAAACAGAGCAGACAAATGGGCGAACTCCTGTATGGATAGTGGAGTGAACATCTAGAGACCCACGGGTAGCGAAGTTCTTGAGGCAAACAGGGCACTTGAACTCAGGTTTCCCCTTGTTCTGCCTTGAAGGTGGAGGGGGAGGGATGGGAGCCTGTGGAGGAGGTGGGGATGGCTCAGGAGGGGGTTGAGGCGGAGCGGGGGGCGACTGTGATGGGGATGGTGGTTGATCTCCTTCTTCGTCGGGCACGTCAGTACAAACACCAGTTACCCTACAAACATACAAAATTAAAAAATATTCTAATATTATCTAAACAGCTAAGACTAAGATTAGTCATTTTTTTTAATTTGGAGCCTTTTCAGATTTGGGTTTAAAAATAATAATAATTAACCAAATATGTTATTTAAATATATCTGGAGTTTATTACAAAAAGTCACTAAGTAGATCTCTATCAAGAGATGGAGTTAAACATTTAATGACATATTTGGGAATCTGATATTTATTGATGCAAACACTAATTAAGTGCGTCAAAACAAACATAAACTCAATTTTATTATAAAGGAAGGAGATGAGGAGGAAGGAGGGCGGTCATAAATAGGCTAAATATTGCTAAAACTATTTTATTGAAAGCCGACGTTTCGACCCGACTTTGCAGGTCTTCTTGAGGGAGATGTGTTCAGCTAGGAGTTTCACTGGGAACTGGGTTTCAGTTCTAAGTGAAACTCCTAGCTGAACACACCTCCCTGAAGAATACCTGCAAAGTCGGGTTGAAACATCGGCTTTCAATAAAATAGTTTTACCACTATTTAGCCTATTTATGACTGCCCCCGGACCATCTCCTTCCTTTATAATGCAACGGTCAACTATTAAATATTCAATTTTATTATATGTTAAAAACAGTAACACTAAATGCACTTTATTTTAAAAAAGAAAAAATCATCAATTTACTAAGTTACTAAGTTCGTCAATTTAACTTTATAAAATGACTTTTCATAACAAGCCAACTATTTTAGAATTATAAGTGCTTAATTAATTAAATCTAATTCTATATTCTGATTAATAATTGTTCAAAATTAATGTGTTAAATCAATTTACATATCAATTTTTACTTACCTATGTTTCTGGAAAGCAGTAAATGACTTGAATTGTCGACGGCAGAGATCACAAGTCATTAAGATATCCATTGTGTGAGTTTTTTCATGCCTCATTAATTTATCAAGATCTGTAAATCCTTTCTTACATATCTGTTAAAAGAAATATTATACATTTTAAAAAATATAAAGATAAGAAAAACAAATTTATTTGCAAACAAATGGGAACCAAATTAAAATAGGCTCTCCATATCGAGCCATATGCTGGAACCAACATTATAAGCAAAAGGAACTTAAGATAAAAGGAAGTACAAATAATTGAATACATGTGTGCCAAATACGGTTGCCCAGCAACCTGATAAACTGAAATTTTAAATGATAAAATAATTACAAGTTCCAGAGAGGTTTTTTAAGTCTGACATTGATCCCCTGCCCTCTTCCCTGGCTATGGAAAAAGCCCGTAAAGCCTAAAAGGCGAGGAAGAGGTGAACAAAAAAAAAAAAATACTAGTTATAACAATTGTTGAAGTTTGTTGAATATTTTAGTAACGAATTGAAGAAAACAGAATTTTAAGAAACCTCTTTTTAAATACAAATTTTAAACAACGGATAAGGAATCATACAATAACCAAAGGTTCACAAGAGATAGCCCAAGCTAGTTTTTGTTTTTTATATGTTGACACCCCATATATGAAAGTTAAAAAATAAAAACTTCTACCATACTTTTTGCAGCATAACTCCAGTTTTGATCGACTGATAGGTCTAATATTTTTTAAAACAACTTTGGATAAAGCTAACAAAGTTTGTTATCCTTAAACTCGCATACACTTATGTAAACCGTCTCTTGCTATGAGTACCCGTTTTAGGCCTCCAGGACTATTCATTTCAAAAGTTCTTGACAAATGTAGTAAATATGGGTTTCAATCTTTCTTTGAATTATAATTAAAAATTTTAGACACAGCCATATCCTTCAATATTTTTCCAAATATCAAATGAAAGTTCTTTTTTATCAAATTATTGATTTATACATGATGTATTTTAAAAAAAACTTAAAACCTATTAGATAAAACAAAAAATGTAAAAAACCTGGCAAACATGTGGACGAAGAGCAGTATTATGAACAGCTTTGTGACGGCTCAATGCTGATGAGAATGAATAAGACTTATTACACTGCCTACACTTGAACAGTTTATCTCCACCTCGACATCTTCTAGATCGGCTAAAAAATATAAACATTTTACTTTTAATTAATTTAAAATAAAGAAAATTCATAAAAATTTTCCAGTATATATCTACTGAATACAGTACGCTTCAATAAATAGAAAAAAAAATTGTTGAAAGACTGGAAAAATGGGTGGGCATTTTATGAGACAAAATTTGTTTGCTTCATCCAGCCCCACTACAGTATCTCCTTTTAATGTAACCACATGTCTTGGGATTGTTCCAATTAAAAATAAAACGAACATACATCATTACCTGCTTTACCTGGACTTTATAGATCAAGCTGAAATCTATTGAACATTTACAAACAAATAATCATAATTACACTTTTTTGATATTAGTGTTTTTGGGTTTTTGAATAACTTTAGATAGATCACAATCATGTGATGGAAACTGTCAATTTGCACCCAATAGAGAGATCGTAAAAGATACTTTTGCGGATCTTCATCAGAGATTAGCACAAAGGGGTCAGAACTACTAATGTAGTTAAAACTCTCTATGGCGCAACAACCAAGGATGTGTCTTGGCCTCTTCTATAAGCTGCTCCTCGGCCTTGCCCAACCCTGTAGTTCAGGGTATATATTAAGCAGAAATATAATATATAAATATTTCAAACATCAAAATTAGTCGCTCTGTGGTTATTCTTAATCGAACTGAAACCTATAATGAATGTTATTTCATCTCATGAGCAATCCATTTACAATAAAAAAAAAAAAAAAAAAAATAGAAATCTAAGATGTAATATAAAAGGAGGTAATGGATGATATTAAACATTATGGAATGGAGGGGAAAAGGCAGATATTCAGATATGATATAGGAGAAATAAAAAATAAACTGATACATATTCACAATACATGTCATAATATTTCCTGAATTTTGATATATTGTGGGACATCAGTTCATATTTGATAATTGTACCTAACTTCTATACCTATTACCAATAACAAAAAATAATAGGTTTCACCAGAAATGTACCATTCCAATAATTGGACATAACAGCATATTACAAATATAAACAATTCTGAGGATATTAAAATGATAAGAAACATATATATTTTAAAAAAAAAAAAATATACTAACTTGGAACTAGGGCCTGGTGGTGGTATGGAGGGCATCGGGGCAGGGATAGGGAAGACAAGCCCATTAAGCATCAAACCCTCTCCAGCAGTACGGAGATCTACTGCTAGGGCTCCTGGAGCTTGGGGTATTCTCATTATAACTTGTTCCTGCTCTCCAGTCAAAGCACCATAATAACCACCATCTTCAACACTTCCATTCATAGAAAGGTTCTATGAAGCAAAAAAAAAAATGTATTAATTATTAAATTCCAACTATAAAAAAATTATGTAATAAAGGAAAATTTTTAAAAAAACCTAAATGAAAAACATGAACCCATACAAACACCCTTGTACTTATTTTCCAAAAATTCCACAGCTGTTATAAAAAAAATAATGATAGTAAGGCATGAGGTTGCAGTCTTGTTTCAACCACTGTATGTGATGGGCAACGGACTCTGGTAAAACATCCTCCTACTAAGTCTAAAAGAAGAAGCAGAGAGGAAGGACTAGCAAAAGTAAAAAAAAAAATGTAAACATACAGATTTATTGTCTTCAAATAGTTCACACATATGAATAAACTTAATAAAGTTGAATATGGCTGTATTTGTTGAGTTTTAATCTTTCATTGAAAGTAGTTTTTCTGATCACCCTCTATATACCGAATACCTCGATTGAATACCGCCAGTTATGGGATTTATGCATATGTCACAGATTTTAGCTAAACAACTTTTGGACGATAGGTTAGCTTTTAACCTTATAGCACAACAGACTATGGCCTAGTTGCTAATGGTAGCATGATGCACCCCACTGCTACCCTCAGTGCTAACAATGGCATATGCCGACACACTGCTTTTCTTTCCATTTGCTTATGTCGAGTATAGCCGATACGACCTTATGTCATTCCACTCGTTTCCTAGTGAAATGAAGCGTCTAACTAGAGCCTACAGATGACATGAGGATTAATTTTGGAGCTTTTCTTACAGAATTCATCAACTGTTGTGTGTGAGACTACCTGCCTTCTGGCCTTTCACAGGCTGTTTGGACTATTTTCATTCTTGGTTTTGTGTTCTGTGCAAAACAACCCTCCTTTCCTTTCAATTGCTGTTAGCCTTTATTTAGTTTATATAGATTTTGTTTAGTTTAGTCCAATCATTTTAGTTAAAAATTAGTTAAAAAAGGATTAGTTTTGTTAGTTATTGGAATTTCTTCATTATAAGGTTGGTCTCTGTGAAGAAAAATGCATCGAAGAATACCACACAAAAATTAAATTACTAAATATATACATATATAAAATTTTAAAAAATACTCTGCCAGTATCGGTTCACAGTCCAGATAAAAAAGGAGGAACAATAAAATAGGTTAAGAAATAGCATTAAAATGCCAATGAGGGATGATACGCAGATAAAAAGTATGTAGCACGTGGCCGGTAGGCGGGAAGCCGTCTCACTTAGCGCTGTGATAAATGTAAAACTCATCAATCACCATTTTATTATTTTATTCATGCCTATATTTTACCAACAACAGTTATTTAATTGTTTCTATTTAGTACTACTATTGTTTCTATTACTTTCGAGCACTAACTGATTACAAGAAAAAATCTCAATATGGTGAAAATTTAATTTTTTTTAAATTGAGTTTTTTATTTCTTGAAAAGTTTGGATTTGCTAATTATGGTCGTATGTTGAGACCGATATGTTGATATAAATATTGGACAATATATTTATGATGTTATAACAAAAAGTCATTGGAAACTGATATTTTATATAAAAAAATATAACCTCATTTACATTTTCATCAGCCTCTTCTTTGATGATTACTTCTGGTGTAAACTTAGTCATGTCCCATCCTTCACCATTATCGGAACACTCATCATCAGATATTCCTTCACTCTGAAAAGCATATGAGCAACCTTTTGACAGAAACGATTAATATGATATTATAATGGTAATCAAAGAGAAGCTTAAAAATACATGCTAACATTATCTCAAGAGAAAAAGTCAGAATAAAAAAGTTGAATAAAAATTAAATATAGTAAATAAAACATGATGAAAACAAAATAGATAAACAAAATCCTAATATTAATATTTTTATTATCTTTATGATAAAAACAATAGTTTTGAATATGATGATAAGCGGTGCACCTTGGTTTACCCACATGAAATTCGGATTATACTAGATAAAACTGGATGCCTATTTCATATACTTGATCAGTACAAGATCAAGTGCATAAGAGGAGCTGAATAACATCCTTAATTTATGTGGTAAAACAAAAGGACCATTGTTTATATTAACGAAGTTTGTTTTATATTGCTTAAAGAAAACTTTAAGTACTTCAGAAGCAACAAGATGCCCATTTATTTCTCCCTAAGGTATAAATTATACTGGTTAGCCCCACAACCTGATATAGATAAGGAAACATATAGTTTTCTGTGGGAGGAATCGTGAATTAAATCAACTCTAATATGATTAAAAGTTAGTCTCTGCTATTTAGACTACAAACAAAATTTACAGAAAGCTGTGTTAGTGTAGTAATCTGCTATTTTTCCAGATTTATTGACCTTTATGTAAGGTTGTAGAGTGAAGTTATAAGCCTTCCTCAATAAACGTACCTAACATAGAAATAAGTTGTCAAATTGGATCAGCAGATAGCAAAATAAGGTCATCCAAAGAAGTGTTTCAGTTTTATAAATTAGTAATGATTAAAAACATCAATTATTGAACATAGGAATTATTATAAAAATTAATGAAAATCTGGTATATTTTATTATTGTTAAGCCTTCCATAAACCATGACTGATATAAATAAAATTTTATGAAGATCAGTTTTGCAGGTTTGTGGTTAGTGGTTACAAATGGAGAATGGGATGTCAGGTTAAATATAAAAGTATAAATCTTGTGTTAAGATCAATATTTTGCATTTTTAATGACATTCAAATGTCATTCTAACAACAATGGAATACAAATTTTAAATTACGACTATACATTACTAAATATGCTTATAGAACTATCATGTCTTAGGTTGATGTTATTTTTATCACTATTATTGTAGTCAGTATTTCAGGAGCTTAAAACCATCCATTAACAAAATGGATCATTTTACAAAAAAAAAAAGGTGTTAATTCGTCAAATAGTTTCTGAGGCTAGTTACAGTTACAAACAAGAAATTATCTGTATTTTTATATAATAGGATAGACCATATTTATTTTATAAGGTAAATGGTTATGAAAATCAAATCATATGAAATTCCTAGTAAATAGACTTTTAAAATATTTTTTTTTTTTTTATTGTATTTTAATGAAATTTACAACTGTATTACATGAAAAATACAACAAGTAAATGTGACATTGGTAACATGACATGTACAACATGAAGGGAAACTACCCATTGGTAGAACTCAAATTTTTTTAAATATAAAAAATTAATACTGATTCTTTTATCATCAATGCTTATATGACTTATTATTATTTCATTTTCTTTTTCTGTTATATGATATGATTAAACGATGAAAGAAATGGAGTCTAAATTAATCAATTTAGCCAATTTTTATTTGTTATCATTTTATACCATTTTATATTTCCTTTTTAGGGTTCCAAAGCTAACCTAAACTAAACTTACAAAGCTTATCAAACTTTTTTTTTTTTAGCTTATTTATTGAAAAATATTACAATCTGTCTCAAGGACAGAAAATAATTTATTAAGAGAAAAAACCTGGTGGTTGAGCATGATCCCGGCCCGATCACCTCCCTGCATGACCGTTGGCCTTAAAACAGTACTTCATTACAAAGAATTGAAACCAAGACCACCCATGGGTTATAGTCGTAGATTTTTTTTTTTTTTTTTTTTTTTTTTTATACAGTTCCTTTTTGCAAACAATAAAAATTTTATAAAAAATCGTACATTTTAAGACCCATCTATCACAAATTATTTATATTTACTAAATATGAATGGATGATCTGAGAATCCTACAAAACATCACAATTTCAAGAGTCCGGGAAAACAAACATATTTTTTTCAAGATTATAAATTACCTTAAAGTTTCCTCGAAGAGTTGAATCTGAGCGCTCACATAGGATCTTGAACTGATAAGATCGGTCGACCTGGGAAAGGCAAGATGTACAAACATTCGGAGGCAGTCCATCTCCTTCAATCACCTTAAAATAAAATCATAATGTATTTATCAAATACAAAATATAAAAAATGAATGGGTAAATTAAATTGTTTGTATGATAGAAAATGATTTGCTATAAACAATGCAACTATAAAACATAAATTATGATATAAAGCACATTCTATTGTTCCCACTCCACTATATTTTATTTCAAAAACCCTTAAATATGAATTTTCAAATTGAATAATAAAAATTTTTTGTTCCGAATTTTTACCAAGGGTGGAGCCTGTAATTTGTTTTCTGAATTTAAAAAAAATTGTATAAATTCGACATGGCTCCACCTATCCACACGAAAATTGGTAGGAAATTAGGGAACTATAAACTACACAAAATGCCACAAACCAGACCCAGTAAACAATTTATAACTGGAGACATAAAATAAAAACTTTTGAGTTATGAATGATTTAGTAAACGTCATGAATAAAAATTTTCCCATAAAATAAAGTCCTAAAACTTGTATTAATTTTATTTTAAAGCAAGTCCTATTTCAGTGTTTTAAGGGATGCTAGAAACAAATCTCAATCAATTTAAAAATTTACTAAGCCAACTTTACTAGAAGCATCATTTGGGTTTTTGTAATTTATTAATCATCATAATCCTTATTCCACATGTACCGCTGCGCAGTGTGGGGTTACAATTTGTGGAGTCTGGACCAGGTATTTCGCTCTTGGGCTAGCTCTTTTCTCCTACTCCAATCTATACCTCGCAGCCTGAACACCTATCTAACACTCTCCTCCCAGGATATGCGTGGTCTCCCTCTTGGCCTCCTTCCTTCCATACGAGTCTCGTATGTCATCCTAGCAGTTCTTTCTTGATCCATCCTAAGGAGATGTCTGAACCACCTTAGCATATGCTCCTCTAGGATGAGCTCGGGCGGCTTGACCTCACGGCCATTCCATATAGTGCAGTTCCTTATCCTACCTCTTCTAACCTTTCCTTCCACTTTACGCAGATAGTACATCTCCATGGACTGGATTCGACTCTTGTGTTTGGAGGTGAGGGTCCATGATTCGGAAGAATGAGAAAGAATAGGGAGGAACGTTGATTTATAGACCTTCATTTTTTGTCTTCTTTGTCACTTCTCTTTTAACCAGGAAACCCCTCCAAAGCAAAAAGAACACTCTTGCAGCTGCACTGATTCTCTGAGACAATTCCTCATCAATGTAGCCATTCACCATTTGCTCTTATGACTCTCTCTCATTATTCAACTGGGTTTCTTTCCTAATCGCATACATGTGCTTTTTTCTGGGTTGATTGAAGCTATTTCTTCCTGGGGAATATTTATATTATATTGGAGGTCTCGGTTGTTAGAGGACAGCAAGACTAGGGTATCTGCGAGTGCTAACAAGGAGAATTTCGTAGGTTGTAAATTTCTGTACCCTAAATGAAATGGTCTCATTAGAAGTTTACCATTCCTTAGCGCCAGATCTAAGACAAGGAACAGACTTATGAAAAGTAACAGACTTGGACTAGAACCTTGGTAGATACCTAGATTCTTTTTTTTTTTTTTGGTTACTTCCTCGCTATTAAGGCTATACGGAGTTTTCCCGGGCCAGGGGGTGTGGGCGGGGTTTTAAAAGACTCCCTCGGCACTGGGACGCGAACTCGTGACTATTTTTATATCATCTGAGTCATATATCAGCTTGCCGGGCAACGGCGGTGCTGTGCACACGTGTTAGTCCACTCAGCTACCCTGCCCACGGATACCTAGATTCATCTCGAATTCTTGTGATATGTGGTTCATAGTCCTAACCACATTCCTGGTCTTGTTATAGAGACTCATCACGGCCAAAGTCATCCCTTGATCGATTCCTCTTTCAGACAGTGCCCGATCTATGTCTTCCTTACTAACTTTATTGAAACAAAGCAAACAGAAAGTTCTTTATTCCTTTCGACAGTCTTCTCTGTTATTTGTCACAATGTAAAGACGAGATCTTGCGTGCTTCACTGTTCCCTGAATCCCTACCGTTCTTCTCCCAGCTGACTATCGACCACTCTTCTTATTCTTGCCTCAAGATGTAATTTATTAAACACACTTTGATTTTTTTAAAACAATCAGCAATATTTTTTTCTTATTTTACAGAACAAAACAAATTTATTGATATATTACAAACTAAAAATCCACGAACAGCAAAGGCATAAAACAATAATATAAAAAAGTTAAAATTTTATAATTTTTTTTTCTCGGCTCCTGTGGCACATCAAGAACCCTCTGACATGAGTCAAATATTTTTCGACCTAGTATCTCCGAATAAATTGTAATGGAATTGGTGACCACAGGTCATAACCTCCCCTTGTTGGTAAAACTTTTAGTGAAAACATGAGAGAAAACATAAATCATTCATTAGGAATGATTCAATATATCAACAGCCACACTGCAAAAGCCTTTAAGAACAAAAACTAAAAATGTTCAGGTGAAGAAAAAACTGCTTAATTTTTGTTCTATGTGCATTATATTGTCATTTCAATTCTTTTTGCAGACCTAAGACAAAGATATAATACTCTATGTAACTTTTTTATGGTAGTTCTGCCTAATAATCTTTTAGAGCCATAACTTTTAACTTATAGCTTTTTTGGTTACTTTAAAAACAGATATTATTAGGTAAAAGGAATCAAATTTATTGTAGTAACATCCATAACTTTGTTAATAATGATCAAATGATCATGAAAGGAACAAATTCAGTTTCCAAAATGTTGAGAAACGATACTAAAAATGAAAATTTGAAAAATATTTGACTGAAAAGCGGGTATTTGATCACATGGGTTATTCACTTTTTTTGTCTTCCACTGTAGGGGCGGCTCGAACGGAGTGCATGTCCCATTTTAAAATAGTCTATGAAAGTTTTGTTTTTAATGTACTAAACTTCATATGGACATGGTTTTATTCACGTTCTTGGTACGTTCTAGGTAACCTGCTGATATATAGATCACTTCATTTCTGCACTTCTTGCTATTTCAAAGATTCATCGGTTTGAAAATATGAAACAAGAGTTTTTTTTTCGTTTTGTGTTATATTTTCCAATTAATTAAATCAATTATGCGTCTCTCACTATCTGGAATTCGGCGGCAGAGTAGCTTTTTTCCAGTCAAGCTCATTTTGCAGTTGCCAGGAGGTTTGGATTGTTTTGAAGGCCATTCAATATTATATTCCCACTTACAATTCTTTTCTATGCTTTGTCTCACTCCATAGTAAGTAGTAAGTCGCATGCCTCAGGGCAAGCGAACCTGGGCATTTGCCCAGTGGCAGCGGGCTGGAAGTCCTCGCCACTTATTAACTATCATGGCACTACAACTCGGTAAAGCGTCTACTCCACCAGCTTTCAGGCTGATTTTTGGTTTCGGCGAACTATAAGCTTCGCCACTTATTAGAAATTTAAAAAAATAATACAAAGCGTAAGAGAAAAATTAATTTTAGCCTAATAATAAAGCTAATTGTTACTGTAGTCTAGTCTACGGGCAGAACGCTCTATACATTCTATATTTACATGGTCACCTTTCATTGAGCATTTCATTACATTTTTTCGGTATCAACACAATCTCTTTAACCTTCTCTGTAACTTACAGTTTTTTAAATTATAGGTTTTTACAAAAGGACATAGAGAGGAAATGAAACATCGTAGATTTTACTTTTCGGGATCAGAATATGGGCCAGGACAAGATTGACCAGAAAAACTCAAAACCTCATTTTCCAAAGAAATGGTCCTTAAGGGCTTTAGCAGCGTGGCTTTCAATATATTATTGATATAAACAATAGCTTGGTACATTTCTGTAGCATAAAAAGCTGCCTCAGCCAAAGTTGTTAAAGAAATTTAGAAACAAAGTTTTAATTCATTTCTGTAATATAAAAAGCTGGGAGTGGGGTAGCTCAGTGAGTGAGCACTAACTTCCACAGCTCAAGGTCCTAGGTTCGAATCCAGCTGATGACTAGTAATTTTTCATCAGCCGTGGATCGACCTTGGGGTCGGGAGACCCTCCTGTGCCACACCCAGCCTCTATAAAATGGGTACTCTTAATTAAATAATTAATTAAGGGCAAAAAATTTGGTGGTTGGGCGTGATATCACCTCCCTGCACAACCGTTGGCTTTGAAACAGTACTTCCTCACATTGTACTGAACTCAAAACACCCTTCATGGGTTGTTAGTGGTACAGGTTTTTTTTAATATAAAAAGCTACCTCAACCAAAGTTGTCAAAGAAATTTAGAAAAAATCATAACTATCTATCTAGTTTGACTTGTCCACGATGAAATTCATTAAATATAAAACATATCTGCCATTTTCAAGCAAATATTAAAAAAACATTGTTTTTAAACCTCTTCTTTACGACTACAAAAATATATATATTTTTAATTTGTCAAAAGTTTCAAAGTTATGGAGTGATAGAAGTCGAATCAAGAAATTTTTGCTTTTTTATGTCAAATAGATCGATATATAGCTAATTCATAATTTTTTAATTAGGTGAACCTCTATAGAATTCATAAGAACCATTCTTCCCAACTATAGAAATTTCAAGAATTCAAGGAAAATGGTTTTTGACAGAAATATGAGGTAAAACATAAATAAAACAGAAAGTGCAAAATGATCATCTTTGACTCAGTATTTTGGATAGAAACGGACATGGAAAATGAGGGGACTTATCATAATTTGTTCTATATTCGATAAGGAACTAATCCCCACATTTACAGAAAATTATGAATAAGGACATACATATATACTAACAACTTTAACTCAAGGTAATATGTTGTTGCCTAATAAACCATGCCACCATTTCTTTTTGTCGTATCAATCTTTCTCTAGGAATCCTCTAGCTACCATTGCCTCATATATTCCTTCCATCCATCTCTTTTTCAATCTACATCTCTTCCTCCTTTCCTGCAGTACATGGTTAAGCATCCTTTAAGGCAATCGTTCATCAGAAATTCTCATGAGGTGGTTTGGAGTTTATTAATTTTCATAATCCACAGGGTAAAAGTAAAAGCACAGCAAGAAAAGAATGTTACGAAACAAAGACGGGTTTATATCTCTTTTGGTTACCCCACTGACATCAGTAATGGTGGAGCTTTAGGCACAGCACTGAACCTTCAGCCAGCCTTGCCATTGCTCAGTGACATGCATTACACAGGTTTCTTTTTGTAATTTTTCTTACCCTTTTTTATAGTTTATTGATTTTTTGTCACCATCATATTTTTATGTCTGACCAATTTTTTGAAAAGTCCTTATAGATGGTTATTTGGATCTTTTATCGCCTTAAGCAGCCTTCACCATCTTTGCTTATCAAGGGCTTTTTCTTTCCAGTTATCTCTAGCTCTATTGCATTTTTGTTTGTTCTATCCATTTATCTGGTTTTGGGCCTTCCACGTAGTCTCTTGAGAGATTCAGTGTTGTGTAGAGGTTTCGTGATAGATTACTCTGAGATACATGTCTTGCCCATTTTAACTTCTTCATCTTCATATCATGAGATATGGATTGAACAGTTTCTGTGAGCAATTCTTTATTGATCATTCTTTTTTTCAAAAATAATTTGTTGTTTATAGTAACAAAAATGGGAAACAGATTGCTGCAAATGATCGAAGCATAAACGTAATTCAATACAATGACAATGCAGATGGTATTGACATTTAATTTTTTTTTTGTTCTCTTCCTTTTAGGCTATACAGGGTTTTCCCGGGCCAGGGGGTGAGGGTGGGAGGATTAATGGCAGAGTTAAAAACTCCACTGGCATCGGGATGCAAACTCTTACTTATTTTATTCCATGTAACTTCAGTAACTTCAGAGCAGTAGCTAACGACCGAACAAACTTGTGGAGATTTTGGGAGGAGGCCCAGTCTCAGTGACGGGATGTTGTACAACTTATGTATGTACAGAAGTATATGACCTAGCGAGGTCAGTGTACAAATCATTCTTTTACCATTAACATTAATTTTCTTCATATATCCCAACACATTTAAGGTAGCAAGCCCCACAAGAACAGAATCAAGGCAAGGGCTTTCTTTCACCGAAGGTATTCTAAGAGGCTCGTCTGTATATTGAGATTATAATTTTACACTTATTAAAAAGTTTGCTTGGTAAACTCGCTTCTAAAAGTATAAGTTGCCTTGACAAAGACACATACTCAAGCGGACACCTTTCCTCTAACATTTTGCTATACGATGCTGCTTTTAGCACCTTCAATTCTTAAAAACTCTATACAGGGTGTAAACACTTTCTACTTAGCGATTTATTACATAGCAGAGACTAAGGTTAAAGCTCATGGGACAAATATGATAAAATGATTATTCGGTTTATTTCAGTTCATTTTGAAAAATCTTTTTCAATTAAACAAAACTCAATGGTGAACAATTTTTTAATTTTGCTGAATCAAATAGTTGAATTGTGAATTTTAGAAACCCCACATGTCCAAATCCTTAAATACGTTGGCATCTGTAAGCATGTTGGCTTTTTGCATCTCAGGATTCTATAAGGTCATTAATTTTAAATAATATTTATTGAAAATTGTGATTTTTTTTTTTTTGTATTCATTCTTTTGGATTTTATATAATTATAATATTAAAGATACCATAGTTTTTCTTTTTTTGTTTAATGTAATTTCATTTGTTTTTATAAATCTAAGAAAACATTCTCTGATTTCATTCACCTTTGTCGAAAAATATATGTAATAAAAAAAAAAAAAGTTATCATTTTAATAGTAAGGACATAGTAGTAAGGATTATAAAATACTTGCTTATCCTTTTTATCTAGAAAGTATAAAATATAATTACTAATAATAATTTTCTTTCATACTTTTTATCATAAGTATTATTAATATTTAACATGGTTTTAAGAAAAAAAACAACATACTGAGATAATAAATTATTTCACTATTTTAATAATTTCATAGTTACTAATAAATGAAAGCAGTTAATAAAAAATTCACATCTATTTATACATTTATCACTTTTACACAAACAATTTTTCAATTTTAGTTTTCTTTTTTTAAATTACATAAAGTAATAACTTTCAATTCCTATAATATTCTAGTAATTAAGAGGCAGCCAGGAACTAGATTCTTGGTCTATAAATAAAGGATTTTAAAACCTTGAAGTCAAAACAGTTTTGTTTACATAAATGAGGCTAGTTATAAGCAGTCTCAAAAGTTAAGAAAACAGTTATAAAAAATAAAATACGGTTAAAATCAAAAAATTATGAGAAATTATAGCTTACAAAATTTGAAAATATCGGTCATTATAACAAAAACTATTACAGACGATACTAGGTTTTTAAAAAAATTAATACAAACAGTTAATAATCATTTTTATATATTCATTATATCATCTAAATTCTCAACTTTATTTGCTTAAATTAGAGATGCTAAACACGAGTGAAACAATATGAAAATGCCCGTTGGAACCCCTTGGTAACATCAATTATTTAACATGAAATTAATTTTCAATGATCTTACAACAGAAAATTACCTTCACTTGGGCACATGCCATAATGCGGTGAGGAAGAGATATACCAGCACCATTCTGCTGATTACTAAATATTGGTGCAAGTACCTCATTCCCCTTCAAACATAGGCGGCATACTTTTCCTAAATCCACTTCCATCTTACCACTTAAAACAAAAATAAAAATAGAATAAATAATGGAACACAACTAGAACATGATCGATTTAATCATATCTTGTTTTACTTTTTTTATATAAATATTGTAGTAACTAATTTGAGATAAGTTAAAAATTAAATAGTTCCCTAAAAATATAAATATACATTTGAAAATAAATATGAATATCTTGATTTTCTTTCTAATCATAAGCTTAATGAAATAAATTGGCTTCAAGAAATATAAACAATATTGATGCACCTATCAGTAATAACAAGTATGTTCAAATGAAAAAATACATTTGGTTTCTTCCAAATGATACAAATATCAGTAAAAATGATAAAAATTATATTGTAAATGTTATAAAAATAAAAAAATTAAAGAGAACTTATATTGTTAATAAATTCTCTTGCCTTAAAAATAGAACTAATTGAATTTGTGGATAAAAAGAATTCTGTAATTATTATTGTAAACAAATATTTTAATTTATTTATTACTCCAAAATATATTTAAACTTAGAAGGTAATAGATTGGTTATCTAAAACTTTGTTAAAAATAATTAAATATACTAATATTTGGACTGATATGATTAGATATAAGAAAAATAACAATGGTAAAAATATATAATTAATTAATTAAATGCTAAATTAATTAATTTACTTAGCATAAACTGGTGAAAATGTTCCTAATAAACATTTTTAAAATAAATATCTGCAAATATTAGGAACATATTCATATTTTTCTAAGATTATATTAAATCAATATTAAAATATTTAAAAATGAAATCAAAGGTTATCTGGATAAATTTTAAAATTTAATTAATCTAAGTAAGAGGATTTAAATCCTGTCATACTTACTCTGAGATATCAAATTTTAAGTAAACCACTGTCTTCTCATTTTAATTGTACTTTATTGGCTTCCAGGTCCACCTAAAATTAAACAGCACTTCTTAGCACTTTTAAAATCAATAAAGCATCATTGACAGAAAAGTGCAAACATTAAATCAATACTCTACTTTTAATTACTATCATTAAAAGTCATAGTTTTAACTTTTAAATATTTAAATGAAAGCATTCTAGCATATATAAAGCTAATTATAAGTATTCAATACATTTTTCAGATCGAGTGATAAATAAATAATTAATTACATAATTTCTAATTAAAAAATGGTACTATTCATTATGCAAGGTCACGGTGATGCCGATTGATTTTTTGGCGATTATCGGCATCACATAAAAACTACGAATTAAAAAAAAATATATTTAAATCATTAAAATTAGTAAAACTTCAAATGTATAACTCAATTATACAATGTAATTACCAATTTAAAACTCAAACCAATAGTTGAATGACATTTGTAGATTGAATCAATGAAAAGAACAACCATTTTGTCGGAATAAAAATGGCCCAGACAAAGAATCACAAGATGATAATAGTACTCATAATTACAGTTTTGCAGGCCTTTTAACGTAATGAAACTTATAGAATATCGTTTTACACCACTTCAAAATCTCCATGGACTCACCTCAAACATATTCCTGACGCTGTCAGTCAATAATGATAGGAAAAATTAACTTTATATTAAACTATAGATGCACCGGCTCTATAAACACTGGTGTAGGTTAGATATTTGAATTGCATTTGAAAACTATTAAAACTTAAACGAAAAAGAAAGAGGAATAAAATAAGATTTCAAACCGAAGCGTCGCCCACATCTAAGACTTATTAAAACAGGGGACAAGTAAAAAAAAAAAAGCGATGGGCATTGCCTAAAAAGATTCGTAAAACAAAACTCTCCCATCTATCTTGTGTGAAAAATTATAGGCTGCGCTCTCCCATCTTAAATTCAATTCATTTTTGGACCACTCTTAAATATTTATGGAGTAAAAGTTTATAGTTCATCCTTTATCAATAGATACCCAATACTATTTGAAAAGTTATAAATTTGAAGTTTTGCAATTTAGTGGTAGGGTAGTCAGGGTCAAGGTGGCTGTGTATCAAACATGGCGTTAACGCAAGGTTTGATAGGTGTACTTTGTCGCGGAAGGTACCGAAATTTGAATAAGAGAAGTAGTTTTTTAATTAATAAGGTGATAATTGTATTTTGATTAATAAAGGTTTTAAAATTTACATTCATTTTTTATTACTGCACTTATTTATTTACTTTTTTGTTTGACTTTATTATTATATAACTGAAATAATTTCCTTCATAAATATTTCAACAGTAGATTGATTTCATTTTTATGCTTAAATGACTTAATATATAATACCCATCCTCGTCTAAATTCTTGAGACTAAAAAAAAAACTTGACCACTTGAAATCATTTTCAGGATAACATGATAATTTTTATGTGGAACAGTTCTTGTAACATGACTTATGGACAATTCCATATAAAAATTAACTAATTCTTCTGAAGATGGATGGATAAGCCGAAGATAAAACCTTAATTTTCATCTATATTGTTTTATTGACTTTTTTTTTTATGATATACAGGCAGTACAATTATGTTATTCTACACAAAGAAATATTGATGGTTCTGAAGTTCCTGCTCGAACAAGAGGTCCTTCAAAGGTTTATCATTCAGCTACAGATGCGATTAAAGATATTCCTGATGGTGCAACAATTCTTTTTGGAGGTAACATAAACAAGAAAGTTGATCATTAATTAATTGACCATTCCGTACAATGTCCGAAAGCTTTTGTTACTGTTATATTGTTTTTCTATTAACTGTTACTTGTTTACGAGGCGTACTTATTATATTATAAAACTAGTCAATCTTTATCCATTGAGTATAGTTTTGAATTTACCAAATTTTAAGCATCCACAAAGTTCATTGCACACATATTTGTGAGTACTAGTCATATAAAATTTTGTGTAACAAAATTTATTGTTGTCAATACATTTATAGAAGTGTCATAGATTTGTTTCATTGAAATTTGATTGTAACTTGTATTGTTGTGCTGTAGTGTAGTAACACTATAGTGGATTTTATGGTATTTTTACGTTTGATGTTATTGTTCTATAAATGTGCCTCTTGTTATTTTATCAATTTAATTTTATATTTCCTTGATGGCGAACTGTTGAAAATCTGAAAATTTGTTTAGTAAATGATTATATGTAATAGAGCTAGCTGGAAATTCATTTTATTTACTTATTGAAAAATTGCTGATAAGGTGTTATGTTACTGCCCATATTTATTATTTTTAAATTATTCCTTATTTATATAACAGTCATACAAGTTATCATTGTTTACAATGTATTTATCAAAGGTCTGTTACATAAGGAAACCTGTTTTACAAGGTTATTATATTCCTACTTCATTAAAATTCACAACAATATATATTCAACAATTATTTGATTTTCTATTATATATATTTTTTATCTTACTTTAATACTTTTTAAAATTATTGGAATATAATGAAACAGATATTTATATCAATATCTATTCTATTTATTATCAACAAAAAAAAATTCAGACTAGAGAAAATATTATCTAGAAAAATACTCTGACAATGTTTATTTTATAGTTGGTGAACAAATTAATATAACTTATCCTTGAACAAAAGTCAACATACACTTTTACAAATTTAATTGCTGATAGATAATCATGGCTCTCTGATTTTTTTTTTTTTTTTTTCACCCGAGCCTGTGGAACACCATCAGAGCTGAAAATATTCTATACAGAAAACAATTACCTTCTCTCTCCAATCCAAAAATCTCTTAGTCAAAATAACATAAATTCCATTAAAAATTCTTTTCATCTACAAGGACAACTAATTTCCTGTGGGAATAAGGTAATCTTTGTACTGTTCACAGATTACCAACGTTTAAATATCTGAGAATATCTATCACAGAAGATAGTGAAATAGAACAGGAAATCAAAACGAGAATAGTGATGTTTATCAGGTGCTATTGGTCTTAGGAAAAAAAATTTCTGAACAAGGATCTTACTAATAATATTTTATTGAGAGAAAAATACATTTTGCCTCAATTAACAGTAACGCACCATATGTACAATAAAAAAAAAACAAGATTATAACACAAGAAAAGATAAGAAAACTTGGAATAACAGAATAAATCAAACATGAGACAATATTAAATAAAGAAAAAATAAATAAATAAAAACACATTCATACTTATTTACAGTCAGTCGAGGGAGCTCCGAGTCGGGCCCTTTCCCCCACGTGTGGAGGATAAGGCAAGACTCCAAGAGATCCCAGCGCTTCTCTCTCAGCCGCATCACTAGGATTGGAATCCAGTGGAGACTAAGAGAGGGTACTAAAGCCACATACGCTCATGACTTTAGTGGAGAAGCTGGCCATTGCCAGGACTCCAGTGACGTATTTACAAAAGATCTCGAGGCCACTGCCGCTTCAACCTTCGAGGAGGATTGTTGGGATGACTGAAACTGGATAAGGATTGTACTGAGGGATTAGGTTCTGATGAAAATCGGGATGGAATAACGTCAAGGACATAAGGGATGTTAAGGTCATGACGTAAGGTTTTGTTCGTAACATTATAAGGAGCATTGACTGTTATACAGAGGACTTTAGACTGGAAGGATTGGATGCATTTGATGTTCAAAAATTTAGTTGTCCCCCACAGTTCAAGTCCATTTGTCCAGAAGGGTTTCAGTATGGTCTTGTATATTAATAGTTTGTTTTCAATTGAGAGGTTAGATTTTCTGTTAAGTAGTCTGTATAACTGGCCAAATCGTCGGTTAAGTTCTTGTCTTTTAAGTCTTGTATGTGGGTTCCATGTTAGTCTTTTGTCTAAAAGGAATCCAAGATACCGAACTGTGTCTGAGACGGGGAGAGGTACAGAGTTGAAAAGGATACATGGACAGGATCTGCGTCTGAGGGTAAAGGTGACATGCTTGCATTTGGATTCATTGGTCTTGATGCACCATTGCGCTATTAGGGAGATGTGTCTTTGTAAGTTTAAGGATGCTGTTTCAGGGTCTGGGTGGGAAGATAGGATGGTGCTATCGTCAGCAAATGTTGCTAGAAGGGTATTAGGATGGGTTGGGATGTCAGCTGTGAAAAGAATGTAGAAAGTTGGGCCCAAGACACTGCCTTGTGGAACACCAGCCTCAACTGGATAATAATTGGAGAATTCGGTGCTGCAGCGGACTTGAAAGGAACCATTGGAAAGGTCGGATTTGAGTACTAGGTATAAGGATTGGGGTAAGTGGGTTTTAAGCTTGAAAAGCAAGCCATTGTGCCACACCCGGTCGAAAGCTTGTGCTATGTCCAGAAAGACACTAGTACTATATTGCTTGTTTTCAAGCGCAGGGAATATATGGTCAACAATGCGGAGGCCTTGTTGAGCAGTGGAATGTCTTGAGCGAATCCAAACTGATGGGAGGGGATATTGTGGGTTTCGAGAATGGGTAGGATACGTTTGAGAAGGATTTTTCAAAGATTTTTGAGAGGATCAGAAGTAAGCTTATTGGTCTATAGGATGAGGTTTTGTATTATTAACATATTTACCTGGTTTAGGGAAGAGGATGATAATGGAGTGATTTCATATCAGAGGAAAGTGAGTTGTGCGGAGGGTACAACTATACAGGTATGTGAGGAATATGATTGCTTTTTTGAGAAGTTGTCTAAGGATCTGGGTAGTAAGGAGATCAAAACAGAACAAGGATCTAGCAAGAATGTTAAAAGTACAAGTGCCATAGAAATTCCTCATGTATGTGGCCTGGTACTGAAGTGAATCATGGACCCTAACTATAAAAAATAGCATATAATTCAATCCTCCATTGTTCCCACCACCTTTACACTGACAATTCTCAAATCTACCTATCATTTTCTCCCTCTGAGTTATTGGTAGCCTTTGCCCAAATTCAAGAAGATTTAGATTGAATCAGTACCTGGGCAAACGGATTAAGGCTAAATGCTGCTTAACACTCTGGCCATTGTCATTGGTTCTAAACCCCTTAGATCCCACACCAACTTTCCCTCACTCTACCTAAATAACCACCCCATCACCTTCTACCCCTCTGTTAAAAATTTAGGCTTTTTCATAGATCAAACCTCTTGGAATCACCTTATCTCTCATATCTCCCGTCTTGTAATTTCTACCCTCGAACAGTTCCATCGCTTCCGCCATCTCCTACCCCAAAATACCCATAAACTCCTAGATTACTTTATCATCTTTTCCCCCTTTGACAGCTGTGTGGTGTATGATGGCCTCTCGATGGAGCTCCATGATAGACTGAAAAGACTTATGACTTATGTAATTGGGACCCTGAGACGTTCCTGTGTCTCCCACCATTACACTGAGGTAAGGTGGATCTTCCCCTCCTTAAGAAGACAATATTTTCTAGGAACATTCCTTTATCAAATCATTAACAATCATCGTCCTTCTTAAGCCTACAGCCTTCTCCAACTGAAGTCCTCAAACCATTCTCTCACTGCAAGATCTCGACCTTCTGACTTATACATCCCATCTCACAGATCTACCTCATTCTAAAACTCTTTTGTAGCCCGCTCTATCAACTTCTGGAATTCCCTCCCTATCAAAATTCGATATGCCCCCTCCATAACCACATTCAAAAACCTCCTATTTCTATTGAAAAGACAATTAGATACCTGCTAACTATTGACATTATATGTGTATTGCAAAAAACACACGTTGCTTGGCAATTTGATAAATTGAAAATAACATGATGAAATAATTACGAGTTTGCGTCCTTGTGCTTTTTACTATTTTAATTCTTCATCCTCTCTCCTGTCCCAAGATAACTCCATATAACCTAAAATGTGACAAACAGGGGAACAAAAAAAAAAATTGTAGCTTAGGGGAGAGAAAAAAAAACACAATTTTTTAATCATTGTTGATTTATGTGTGTTTCATCTAGTGTATGTTAACTTTTGTTATTCTTCATTTTTGTGTTTTTATAATCGAGATTATTATTACATAACAATGTGTATTTATTATTATGTAACTTATTTATGGCTTTGCATTCAATTTTAAATTTTTTTCTTTTGCTCCATTGTTTCTTATTGAGTAATTTTCAAATGTATGTAGAGTTTTGATTCTGAATGCTTAAGCATGTCATTTAATGTTAAATTTCTTGAGAAAATAAAGTATTAATTTGGGAATTTTACATTAATTATACCAAATTAAAAAAAAATAATAATACTTTTAGGTTTTGGACTATGTGGTATACCGGAAAAGCTTATTGGTGCTATTCTGGAAACCAATCTCAAAGATTTAACCATTGTTTCTAACAATACTGGTGTTGCTGATTTTGGTCTTGGTCTTCTCTTAAAAGAAAAAAGGGTCAAGAAAGTCATAGGTTCTTTTTTTGGTGGCAATCCTGATTTGGGTCGTCAGTATCTTTCGGGAGAATTAGAACTTGAACTCACACCTCAGGTAAAATATGTATAATAAAACATTATTCAAAATTATATTATATTTATAGTTAAATCACCTGGCATCATTAAGTCGTATTGAATGACTTGACCTTAGGCATATTTGGCTGTAATTTGATTTACAAATTTATTTAGTCCGTGTATATTATTTTTTCACTTTACAGAAATAATGATAATACAAAATTTACTTAATGGATTTAGGGACCTGACATTTGCTCAACTTTCCATGATATATAAATTCTTCACAATGCCCCATTCAGAGATGAACAAAATTGGAATCAGTGATTATATGATTACGACTGAAAATAAAACTTAATGTCGACGCCAATTTTATATTTGTTACTATAGTACTATAAATATAGCAAAAATGTGACACGATTTCCTGATTACAACCGTAATGGGGAACCTGATTAGGATTTAATCACAAAATCGTTGATTATGATTATACCCATCTATCACTTTTATGTTTTTATAATTTAATGTTAAAATATATGTAATGTATTTTGAGAATTCCAAACAAATTTGTCAAAGAAATTGGGCCCTTTATGAACTATTTAATTATAAATATTTTCTTAAATGAAGCAGTAGCAGTCTATAAAGATCAAAATTAATGAGTCATGGCTGACCTCTTTATTTTGACTATTAACATGTTAGCAATAAATTTTCAAGGCACTTCTGTGATGATAGAAATAATGCCATAGCTTTTATTTCTTGTAATGAAATGAATTTCACTATTGTGCTTATCAATTGACAAATAGATGATAAAAGTTTTATCTGATAAGTTTCTATTATTTATTGATCTGTATTTTGTATGGAATTTCTATATGAGTATCATAGGATTATTTTTTTATATATCTTCTTATAAGTGTGGTTTATTTTTATCTGATCCTTCAATGAGAAAATGAGCAAAAATAGTTCTGAAGCTACAGCCAAAACAGAATACATGTATATTATATAGTAAATAAATTACTTTGTTTGCCAGTTTTAGGCTCAGAAATTTATTGGCAAATTCAAATTCAAAATTCCATTGAAGGCATTAAAAAATTCATTTATTTTAGAGATTTTGAATTCATCATAATACATGATTTTTTTTATTTTTTTTTTTTTATTATAAACATTTAATGTTGTCTTCCTATGTTACTTCATAGAAATCTACAGGCAGATTCAATTTCAGTGTATAAAAATTCACCGATTTTAATAGTATATTTAGTTTATGAGAAATAAATAAAGTTATATGCCTGTTAGGCTGCAGAAATAAACTCTTGAACTCACGTTTTAAAATTGCAATTTTTGGAGTAAAAATTCACCCATCTTAAGAGCCTTAAAATTTGTCTATATAATGCCTTCCATATCTGATTTTGGCTTCAGTTGATTGAAAATGTTTTCAAATTAAAAAAAAATGATTGAAATTTTTTCTGAATTAAAATCCGAATAAATTTTTAGGCGTTTATAAAATTTCAGTCCGATGAAAAATTATTTGAATAAACATTTAGTGAAATAAATAATTGTTCGAATAAAAACCCAAATGATAATACATTTAAAGTTATCATTATTCTTTTTTATAAATGTAAATGGTTTCCATTGCTGCTTCCGAATCGCTCACGGATTTCTATTTTCATCATCTTAAATTAAATCCTATTATCATGAAAAAAAAAGTTTAAAGACTGAAAACTGACAAGAATGATTAATAATAAGACCAATAAATTAAGGAATTTTGAAATGTGATGAATTGCGTGAGGGGTGCTCAATTTTTTCCAAATTTACGTAATTGAAATGTCCTTTATTTAAATAATATAATAGGTTTCTAGATCTTATCAGTCAACCATTTATATGGTAATTTTTTTGGTAAAGTGCCTACCGAGAGAGGGGCTAATAAACCAATAAAATACATACACGTTTTAATTTATTATAATTTGGGGCTTTTATCCTGACAGGTCATTAACTATTCTATAACTCCAATAATATTCATAATTATACCCAAATAAATAAGTTTGATCTGAGGAGAATCATTTTATAGGAGTCAGACAGATAAAAATATCACAGCTCCAACTTATCATTCCAGTTTACTCTACAAACTTCTTAAAAATAGTAAACAATTATTTTATCAAAAACAGTCCACTCCTACAATGGTTAATGATTTTTTAAAAATTATATTATGAATATTTGATTCATTGTATATATATACAGTGTTTATGTATTTTTCATGAAAATATAACCTTTAATAAAACTAAGATAATTTCTATTAATTTTAATATAATGACTCAGTATAAAAAGAGAGAGCTAAAGATGTCATGGAAAGTCTTGGGTAAATCCATCGAAATGGTATATTGAACCCTCTTTTAACATTTTAGGTATTAATTATATCAATAAGTAAATTTTAAAAAATTAAAATAGTTAAAACCAAGACAGCTTCCAAAACATTAAAAACTTTCTAAGGAAAAACCCTCATCCATCCTAAGGGCCAAATATATTTGTACATCTACTTAAACAAATTAGAAGGCTGTTAGAGCCTCAAAAAAAATTATAATCAATTTTAACTTATGTTTTATTCAGAAATTCTATAAAATTTCGATCAAAATTATCCTATATATTTAAATTTACAGAAGTAATTACAATTAAGTCATGAATAGACAAATACATTTTTAGACGTCTTTAAATAAACGATTTTTTAAAATTATTTGTTTTGTTTGTAGGGACAAGAAAAAATTCATTAATTTTGAATGAATTAAAATTTATTCTTCAAGTGGTTATTTTTCCCTCAACTCTTTTCTGTATACTGTACATACGATATGGATAGATTTATATTTTATTGATAAATTTGATTCTAATTTATTGAAATTTCTTTTATTTTTTTAGTTAATCAAAAGTTTGGAACATTATAGATTGTTTTATTCCATGCTTCGTGTAAGAATTATTGAAAGATCTTAATTATATCTTTATAATATTTTCTTTTTTTTATCTTTGTTAATTTTCAAGATGTAATTTATTCCTTCTTATGTAGGTGTTAATTAATTATTTAGGGTACCCTTGCTGAGAGGTTGCGAGCTGGGGCAGCTGGTATTCCTGCTTTTTATACCCCAACCGCGTTTGGTACTCTGATTCAAGAAGGAGGAGTTCCTATGATGTATGACAAAAATGGGAAAGTTAAAACTAGCAGCCCTGGTAGGGAAACAAGGGTAAATAACTATTAATTTGTTTCATTAAAAAAAAATTTCTATATCAAATTTGATTTATGTGTATTTAACTTTATTCTTCTTTTTTGTTAATGAGCAATAATTCTGACATTTTTTGCTGTCGTACTTTACCATTCCTTATTTTCTTATCAAGGAATTAAAATATGCAGAGTATGCTGATATTTATCTGATATAATTCAATACATAAATATTCTTGCAAAAATATTAGTATTTGAAGGGGACTAAAATTACTTAAAAGTTTGACCTTGGTTTAGCAGCATGGAGGTATTGACCTTAATCGACCTTGAAATTGCTTTTATATCAGGTTCAAATCTTTTTTTATCTTGAATTCAATATTAAAATTCCTATGTATTAAAGTTTATAAGCTTGGAATGAAAAATAATTTTTACCTTGTTTGATTCTTTATTAACACATTTATAATTGTTAATGTTGTAATTAATAATAATTAAATTATTTAGATGTGGTAATATTTACTGGAATGGAATGAAAATTTTGTAATGTATGCTAAAGACTTTAATCTACTATATATATGTCTAATAAATCATTGGTAACTTATAGGCCAAAAAGTAATTATTTTAATTGTTGGTAAAGAAAAATATTAAATGTATTATTTATATCTCAAGTTTTTAATTTTAAAAAGTAGTTTTATTTTTGTTGGTTCTTATGTATTGACTTAACTTTGAATTGACCTGATATTTAGCTTAAAAAAATATTTAATGCATAACAATGATAAATGGGAAAATTTAATATTGTTAATTATAATTATATCAAATTTATTTCAACATTTGATTTTCTTATTTCTGAGACAAATGTATTTAGCGAAGAGCCAAAAATTTAGCATTATATTTATTTTATGTTTACATATTTTTATTGATTACCTTGAATTCCTGTATTTCCAGAGAAACAAACTTGGCAGACTTTGAAAATTGCATTTACTCTAACTTTTTTTTTTTTTTGTTCTTCCCTACCTTGCCTTTTAAGCTATACAGGATTTTCCCAGACTGGAGGGTGAGGGTGGGGAATTTAAAATCCCCTCTGACACCGGGACACGAACTCGTACTTTTTTAATCTCATAATCTCTTAATATCTTCGATTATCTATGCACAGGCGTTAGCCCATTTGGCCACTCTGCCATTGCATTTACTCTAACCTGTTGTGTCTTTAAAAATTAACCAAAGGAAGAAAAAAAAAAAATGGAAAAAGGTGTAAAATTTGTCAAAAGAGATGATAGAATGAGGAGGAAAATTCATTGAAATTGTATCATAAACCATTAAATTCAACACCTCTCAAGCAACACCAACAGTTAACAAATGTCTAAAAGTGATTATAATGCTTACCCAAACTCCCTTTGTTTTTCTTAAAAAATCGACAGCAGATGGAACAGACACAAAACAAGAAACAAAACCATTAGCCTAGATAAACAACTGACTTAGATATTTGTGTTTTTACCAGTTTGTGCAATATCCTTCATTTTTCATCATAGTAATTTATACTTATATAATACTTTTGAAGTATTAATTATCAGAGTGGTATTAGTGGTGGAGTGAGGTAATATAATAGATTAAGCAATGACTTCCTATGCCCAACTAGCCCAATTCAAATACAGGCTAAATCCCTTAAATGTTCTCTTATTAAAAAATTAATAGACCATGTCATGATGGTAAGTGCCTTCATATGACACCTCTTTATGCAATTGAATCTTAAAAGATGAGTTAAACCTTCTAGATCATTCAATGATGATGTGACTAAACATCTTCATATTTTTTTAATCGTGAATAATCACAGTGAGCAAAACAAATGAAATTCTCTTCAAATTTATTTAATTCACCAAATATCACTTAGATACAAGATTAAAATATAATCTAATTTTCAATTAATTAAATACTCTATAGATTTATGAGAAACTGTATTATATTCATTCCATTATTTAAAAAATAAAAAACCTGTACTGTTCCTACTCATAAAAGGTCTTGGGTTCAGTACTTTGTAAGGAAGTACAGTTACATTGCCAACAGTTGTTGGGAGGTGATCAGACCAGGATCATTTTCAACCTCCAGGTTTTCTCCCTTAATCATTATTTTAATTTAAATAATTGAGAATACCCACTTTATAGAGGCTGGGTGTGCCCCAGGAAGCTCTCCTGACCCCACAGTCAATTAAAGGCTGATGTAATAGAAAAAATGATTACTTGTCATCAGTTGGATTCAAACCGAGGACATGAAGCTTTGTAAGTCAATGCCTTACCCACTGAAATACCCCATTCCCTTTCATTCATTCAATTGTGTAATACCTAATTATGTTGGCTCTCTGCACCCTGTCTCTGTGCTAATGATTGTATTATACATGTTTATTCTATCAACAGTGAGCTGCCAATATTTCTTGATGTACTAACTATGTAAATTTATTGACGGCTCACCGTTGATCTATTTACTTTATTGATATTCTTGCCCTTTCTTTAATCAAATTTACTTTATTTCTTGTTAAGTTTAGCAATTTGGTGGACGTGATTATGTTTTGGAGACTGCATTAACTGCTGATTGGGCCCTCATCAAAGGCCAGGTAGCCGATGAAGAAGGAAATACTATCTTCAGGTAGTTATGATGATTATTATGATGTAAAATATTAATTTTTGTTTGTATTTTTATTATAATTACGGATTCAATAGGAAAACAGCTCGCAACTTTAATCCGGTGATGGCACAAGCAGCAAGAACTACTATTCTAGAAGTAGAGGAGGTAGTACCCATTGGAAAACTTGATCCTGACCATATTCATTTGCCTGGTATTTACATCAATAGATTAGTAAAAGGTGAAGATTATGAAAAGAGATTAGAGGTAAACAATATGTACCAATGATCTTGTTATTTTATGAATGCTATTGATCTTTTTTGTAAAAATAAAGAAATATATATTTTCAATTTTCAGAAATTGGTGTTAGCAAAGAAAACAGCTAGTGCTGCTTCTGAAACCCCTGCAGCCAAGCTCAGGGAGAGAATAGCTAGGCGAGCTGCCTCTGAGTTTAAAGATGGCATGTATGGTATCCTTTGATAGGACAATAAGACTGGACCGTAATAATTAACAGAAATGAAATAAAACGTTCTCATTATTATTCCATGTTTATTTCATTTCTACTGAATATATTTCATACTATGATATAGTATAGTTGATATAGACCATACTTATTTATTTTATTTTAATACTTATTCTTCTGGCTTATATAACTTAATATTTTATTTCATTATCTTACTTATCAAATGTTTTTCATTCATTATTGATTTTATTTTTTATTACATCTGTATAATATTGTATTTCAACAAATATTTTCATATATTATTCCCTTATATTATAGTGCTTAGTATTTTAATATGTTCTTCACATCGTAATCTTTCACAAATATCAAGTTGCCTTTGCATTGAATACTTTTTTTTTTTTAATTCATTTTCAAACAGCTGAGTTCATGAATTATCAAAAGCAGCATTCAGTCAACATGGTAATTAATCAACTAAACATCAAGTTTAGTTGTTTGTAAACTTTTCAAAAGATTTTAGTTAATTATTCATGCATTAGAGTTTTTGTTTTTTTTTTAAATCTATGGTAATGTAATTTCACTTTAATGTTCACATAAAAAATAAGAAGGGTATAAGTAAATTTGACTCTCAATAGTTCAAAATCCAAGGAGCTAAAAATAGTAGACAGCATTGATGGTGAAATATTGAAAATTGTGGCAATATTTTTTTTTTTTTTTTTGAACCACTTTTTTTTTCATTTGACCCAGTAAGGGAGGCGTGCTTCTGCATCATTGTGACAAACTAAAGAGAATTGGGAAGTTAAGTTCGGCTTAAAGGAGGTAAACATTACACAAAAAATAAGTATCAGACATTGCTAGAAAAAATGTTATTTATAAAGAGGGAAAGTTGCTTAGTTTGAATTAAAGAATGTTCTCTCTCTCTTTTGTTGAGAAAAGGATTTCGAGTTATCTAGTGTATCAAAATACAGCATTTTTTTTTATTTACTGAAGTTAACTGCTAAAGAGTTCTAATTATCTTATAATTTATTTTATCGTGAGTCGATTGGATATTTTAGCATGCTTGATTTACTAACATTTTCATTATAGTCAAACTAAATTTTATCTCACCTATGATCCTTAATTTAAATATTTAGTAAATTTGGGAATTGGTATTCCTGTTATGGCAGCCAGTTTCATTCCAAAAGGTATGAAGGTTGTGCTTCAGTCAGAAAATGGCCTGTTAGGAATTGGTTCCTATCCTGAAACAAGATCTGATGTTGACCCAGATTTAATTAATGCCGCAAAAGAGCCTGTAAATATTGTTTCTGGAGCATCTTATTTTTCCAGTGATGAATCGTTTGCGATGATACGAGGGTATTTATTTGATGAACCATTGAATTGTTTTGTTTTATTTTATTTTAAATTATTTATTTTATATAATTTTTTTTTTAATGTTTAGAGGCCATGTAGATTTAACTATTCTTGGAGGTTTAGAAGTTTCGCAGTATGGAGATTTAGCTAATTGGATGGTACCCGTAAGTAATTCTCTTTCCTTTCTGATTTCTTAAATTCTTGCTTATAATGTAATAATCACATTCTGTAATGATGAATCTTGTTATCACCGATATTCATTAAGTGAGACATTTCTAATATGTTAAATTAAATTTCTTGCTTATAAATGTAATGATCACACTTTGTGCTGATGAATCTTGCTTTCATTAAATGAAACCACCTCATAATTTATATTAACATACCCAGGTTGGAATCTAACCCTAATCCATGAGATGCATGAGAGAGCCCTCTATTTACGACTTTCCCAATCTTCAAATCATAATAAAATAAAAACTCAAATATCTCTCAAAGAGTGAAATGACTTATTTTAGTGAGAAATAATTATATTTCTTTTTTAAGATACTGTTATATCTTTTATATTATACTTTCAAAATTGTGATGGGATGAGTGGTAGTATAAAGGAAATGTCTTCTATCTTTAAATTAAATTTTCTTGATTTAATTTATAAATATAAATATATTTCTGCTATTAATGGATTTGATGAGTGTTGTTGTGATTGAAAGGTTTAGGTTGTATCCTAAATGTATTCTTTTATAAGGAGCATATTTAATTCGGAGTGCATCTTAGATATTTTGATGTAACAGGAATAATTGTTAATAATTCTTAGGCATTTGTTTTGGAATGCTTTTAGTTTCTTCAGGTTGGTCGTATTATAGGGTTGCTTCATGGGGCAGGTGTATGTTAAGTTTGGTCTTATTACCTATTTATACTGAATTAATTTTTTTTTTGGGTGATAGCTTTGATTTTTTATTAAAATATGGAAACATTTTATATTTGATTGAATTAATTATAAACCTTTATTTATAAAATGAATGTTTTTAGGGAAAAATGATTAATGGTATGGGAGGAGCCATGGATTTGGTCTCAGCAGAAGGAACAAAAGTGGTGATTGTTATGGAGCACAACACTAAAGAGGGTGGGCATAAAATTGTGACCAATTGCAGTCTTCCACTCACTGGCAAGAAAGTCGTTGATCTCATTATAACGGAAAAGGTAACAGCTTCAACTAAGTCATTTATTTTTCAAAAGAATATTGAGGCATAGAATTCTAAAATCAGCGTTCGTTTTTTGTAACTTTTTTATTTCATTTTATTATTGTTTTTGTTTTTGATACCTATCTGTCTCTAATTAAGAAATATTTGAAAGCATTAATTACACTGAAATATAATATGATTTAGAAGTATGTAACTGGCAGTAACATAATACAAAACTATGATCTTTATTGAGCAACTGCAAAAAAAATTAACGAAAATTGATTCAGCTGCTTTTGCAATTCCACTGCTCATTTCATTATAAGAGTTAAAAAGCAACGTAGTAAAGTAGTAATTTTCATTATTAATTTACAGGCCGTATTTAAAGTTCACCCCGAGCAAGGTTTAACTTTAATAGAAATTGGTGAAGGAATACAAGTGCCAGAAATTTTGACTTCTACCGGCTGTGACTTTGCAGTTGCTGAGGATCTTAAGACTTTTTCATAAGGCCAGGAGTAGTTTATGCTGGGTATTCTGTGACTTAAGTTACCATTACTGGTTTGATTTCTTTAAGGTATAAGATTTTTCTATATTCATTTAAAAAAATGTTTTCGAGCATTATCTATTAAATTTTAATTTTGAACTGATCTTAGGTTAAATTTCTATAAAAATTTTTGTGATTTGGCTTGAGGTAAGTAAGTATTATCTTTCAAATAAACATTTGTACATTGAAACAAAATGAGCCAATTTCTAAAACTTTGAAATATTTGAGAAAAAAATCAGGGTTGATTATAAATTAATTTTTGTCAGAACCTGCTGTCTCCAATTATTAGTTATTGACGTTGACTAATAATTATAGAATATTAGTCCCTTTAACAATTTATGTGCATCCTGCACCAATTTCTTAATGACAATTCATTCAAAATGTTGAACATTTAGCCTGTTTTGTATCAAGATACAGATATATGGAATATTTATAGTTAAATAAGATAGTGAATTGATAACTGTTTAAAAACTATAGTTAACTTGAGTTACCTTTAAAATTAAAATAAAACCTTATTAATTTACTTTTATTGATTTATATTGTAATGGTTAAAACTATTTTGTTATTGTTCAAGGTAATTATTCTCTTTGATAGGTATTTCATTAAATAAATTTTAGTAAAGAATTTTTATTTTATTTATACTACAGTAATTATGTCATCTACTTATTAAGTTGAAAAATTGGAACTGTATATGATAAATGATGCTACAATCATGCTTGAATCATTTTTCATTTCCTAATTTGTTCATAATCAAAGCTTAAGAAATAAAGTTTTCGTGATGAGGAAGTTGTTTTATGAAATTGACTGAGATAAATTGTTAATTTTACAAACCAGTAATTTCTTGTTCTACTATATATTGATTTAAATGGATCATCTTGCTGTTTTTTGCAAAATATTTTATATTTGTGATTAATTAATTATTTTCTGCCTATTAATTATACTTTATAAATTAATACAGTTCATTTTCAACAGGTATTTATAATTTAAGCATTTAATGATCACTAGTGTATTATGTAAAAAATCAGTCGTTGAAATAGTTTTTATATTTTTGTAAATTTGTTGATATTGTTATTAATTGCGTAAAAAAAGATAATACAAAAATTATGAATTTTGTTACTGATCAATGCCTTATTTTGTTCATTTCCCTTTTTTAATGACTATATTAAATTTAAATATATTGTGATACTTAAATTTCATAAATTCTGATGTACTTTGTATCCTCATCCATTCCTCCATGTGTCTAGTTTAGATATTTACAAATTCTTAAATTTACATTGAAGTAACATTTGTTTTCCTATTCTATGTCTTTGTTCCTTCTATAATGTTATTATTTTATAAATGCCACTTTCTTGAGTAAACTTTAATGTATCTTTCTATCAAAATTAACAATTTAATTTTTGTAAAAATTAAAATGTCAATTACAAAAATGTCAATAGTTAACATTGATTTACAAACAACCTTATCAATATCAATGCTCACATATCTTAATTGATTAAATATTTTTTTAATGAAAAATTAATTTTTAATTGACTACCTAAACAATTGTATTTGAATATTAATATTATCGTATAAAATTAAATCACTAACCTGAAATAACAGTGGCCTTCATAATGGTTTTAAAATAATAAAGAAACCTCAACACATTATGAAATGACACATTAAGATTCGATAAAATAACTTGTCTTCCTTCCTGATTTCAATGGAGAACCTACATGTTCACCACTCACGAAATTTACCCAAGTCAAATGATGGTGAATTGCTCAAAGCAGTGAAACTTCTGTAATTGTTATAATTGTACCTTAATTTTCAAAATGAAACCTTACCCCATTGCTCAAAAAAAAAAAAAAAATACAGACAATAATTTAATAACTAACTCATAAATGAAAGCAGAATTCAGATTGTAAACTATTAGGATGACGAACAAGTGTATTAATTTTCTGAGAAATTAAAAGGACTACGAAATGAAAAGAAAACAGCCGAAGTGCATTGCTAATGGAATTTAGAGATACTGAAGGAAAACATGATTTAGGATAGGGATGGATCATTTCACCTGACAAATCACATGAATCAGTTTTAGTTGACAAGACAGATTCTAGTGATGTACATAATGATTGTAAAAAATAAATCTGGTGCATGCTTCTCACAACTTTCACTTACCGCTTGCATTGTACTACTTCGAAAACCAATTCTTGTCTGGCAAAATTAGGCTAATACAAGAAGTTTTTGTAGTGCATTTTTAATGCAGTTAAACTTTAAACAACATATTTTTGAATTTAGGTCATATTCATCAATACAAAAACTCTTAAGACCGTCGCAATAACATAAATCCTATTTATAATATCGATTGTAGTCAATAAAAACCTTAAATGTATCTGCATCAGTCTATTTGAATCAAATAACTCCAGTCTCTGAGCTCTATAGACTAAGAGAGATTTGAAAGTACATATATTTAATTATGAATAAATAAGGATCGTTCTACATAATAAAAATTATAGTTACTAAGTCTCTACCACTTTTTATATGTATTTAAATTCTTATGTTTTACTCTTTGAAAACATACCAAAATACAGCTACTTCCTTTTAAATATAACATCGATAGGTCAAATGTGGTCACAATAATTGTAAGTGTATAATGTTATTTTACAAAGGCAATTTTTTTTGGAATAAATCAACGATGTATACCTAATTATTTAAATGTAATATCGGATTTAGAGTTGTTAAACTATAGTAAATGTATTTCAGGTTGTATGTATAAGCATATATATGGTTTACAAGAACCATGAAATATTTTTAAATTTCACTTTTTCTTTCACCGTTTTCCACTTATCACATTCTTTCATACATTATATTTAGCCATTTTTTATAGTTACTATCAATAAAAGATAGTTTTTTGTTGTTTTCTTTCTTTTGGCATTACAGACCATGTACGTCTTTTGCCACCTTAACAAGCCTGTTCTATCTCTGTCTGTCTTGGGCTATTTCTTTCCATTTTTCAGCACGCAGTTATATTGCATCTTTGTTGATTCTATCTATCCATCTGCTTTTTGGTCTTCCACATGGTAATAAAAGAGATTAATTTTTTTTAAATAAACCAAATCAATGGTACTTTAGAGGAAGACCTATAGGAACATTGGGTATTTAATTCCTGTAAAGTGACATCAATTTGGATAAGACCTAGATGATATTAAAAGGAACTTAGTAATACACTGATATAGCTAGTTTAATTGAAATCGTTAGTCGTCTTTGAAAAAATTGTTAAAATGTGTTACATTGATGATAAAAAGTGCCCCTTAGCCGATTTTGACGAAAAAGTCACTGTAATATCTCAGGTATATCAATAAATCTTAAATATACAATTTCACTTTCTTACGACTTTGTTTTTTGAGCTATACTGCTAACACACACACACAGACCATTTTGCTGCGGGACTTGGTTATTTGGACTCCGGGGACTTCAAAACATGTATTTCCATTGAAAACTCAGATCCAAGAATTTTCACAACCGCAATACTTTTCCTTACTATATATTACGCATATTACCTATTTATTTTAACAATATTGATATGATTGCACAATAATTCTTAATTACACTTACATGTGTTAGAGCTCGGCCTTACATATTAGTGTTCTCTTTTATTATGTTAACATTATTTTGATTTGTGAGTAATGTTACAAGTGGTGCAATCATTCATTTCACATAACTCTATACAACCTAGTGTAACCTCTCATTTTTAATTACTTTTTTTATATCACATGGTGATAAATTATCACTGATACAGTTATTAATTAGGCCGGAGGAAGTAGTGCTGCTACACATATATAGGTAAGTGAAAGTAAAAATAGAACATAATTATATTCTTGCTAATCCATAAAGCTAAATAGTTATTTAAATAAAGAATGAAATGAAGAAAAACCTTCGCTTTAGTGTGAACACTAAATTTGTGATTTATAATGATGCACCCACTTTTCAATGGATATTTTAAGAAAATTTTGATTATCAATCAAGTCATCTGGATCAGAACTCATTGAGCTCATATTGCCTGTCAAGTTGTTTTTGTTTTAATTTAATATAAGTTCTCCAAGTCTGTCTCTTGTCCTGGTTAAGACCTAATCGCTGGTATTTTCTCAGAAAAAGGTATAGAAGTAATATTAAAATATATCTGTGAGGAAAACCATGAATGAGTTTTGGTCAACTTCAAATAAACTTTCTTCTCATTTTTTTTTTTTTTTCATCTTCATAACTCAGTCAGCATTATCTCAAGGCAGTTTTGCAGAGTAGTGGTTGTTAACAGGTTTGTCTCATAATGAATATATTATGATATATAACCCTTATAAATAATTTCTTAAAACAAAAATATTGCTTAAGTATTAAGTTGTTACCATATTGAACTTCTACAAAGGTGGTTTTAGGTATTGATAAACTTCTAATTTTTTATGTCAGTCATAATAATAATCTTTAATATTACATAATGGTAGATTTACTGGGTAAAAGACGTTCATTTCTATTAAAGTTGACAGTACAACAAAAATAGAATAAAGGACCAGAAAAAAACATCCAATCTGAAATCAAAAACACACCAATTAGAGGACATCAAGTGAAACAATGAAGGAAAAATTCTATGCTAAAATTTAATATGAACCCATTCAGAACCAGTCATAAATAAAATATGTCTATGTCTGTGTAGCCAGGACAATTTAAACTTTTAAAATCAAATTTAATTTTCTCTGTAGCATTATGTAGAACATATTTTATTTGCTGTATTGCACAGTCTTTATGGCATGCTTTTTTTTAAAATGTGTTGATTCTTAAATTTGAAGTATTCAATTTAACTTTTAAGTATTTTTAAAATAATAGATGAAATAAAATTTTAATTTAGATGTGATTTTAACTATGTAATTTATACATAAGTATCTAAGTATTTTGATCATTTAAAAAATTGAATTTTTTTTTTAGTATTTAGCTTAGGTAACTCATAGTAACAAATAGGGATGCATGAAAAAAAAATTGACTTTTGGGGAGGCGGCTTCAGTCCGAAAGCATTTTGATAGTTTATATATATATTTTTTATTACTGCTAACAATATTAGATGGTAAATAATACGTAACTATTTTATATTAATAAGAGAAAGTAACCCTCGCGCGGGCTCATTACCGCGTATGGGGAGCGTCCCACGGGTGGCGGATGTGGGGATGGTCGGTGGAAATTCCTTGGAAGTTCCTCCCGGCTAAGTCCGATGGACTCGCTGACCAACAATGAGAGGGGCCCTCCAGACTTGCTGGAGGGAGGGGACCTCCAGACTTGCTGGAGGTAGGGGCCCACCAGACTTGCTGGAGGGTGTGACGTAGGATTGAACGCCCTACTCACATATCTTTAGTTCACCAAACACCACAAAAAGTCATGGATCTCCCTAAGGTAAAACGCTCATTATCCGGAGGTAAACTAGTCCCCCGTTCGGGTCTCCGGGTGGGGACTGCTTTAGGGGATTCATGCCGCAAGTTGAAATATAGGGATTTAAATATTGGTACGTGGAACGTAAGGAGTTTAAACACAGCAGGGGGGCTAAAATCGGTCGCGAATGAGGTAAATGGGTACAATTTGGATGTCGTGGCTCTGCAAGAGGTTCGCTGGCCAGGGGAGGGCTCGATGAGGGAAGGAAAGTACACTATTTGGTACGGAGGAAGCGGGAATCATTGTTTAGGTACCGGGTTTCTAATTAGGAGTAGATTACTATCCGCTTTGAGGGACGTACAATTCTTTAGTGATAGAATTTCGGTAGCTACATTTCAGGGACGTTGGTTTAAAATCGCATTAATAAACATACATTGTCCGACCGAAGACAGTGACGATGAAGTCAAAAGTGAATTTTACGATAAACTCGAATGGGTTTATGATAAACTACCGCGAAACTACATGAAAATAATTGTAGGTGACGCGAACGCAAAGGTAGGAAGGGAAGAAGTTTATATTCAGACGATTGGTAAAGAAAGTTTGCACGAATATAGTATTGATAATGGGATCCGTCTGATAAACTTTGCCATCTCGAAAAACCTGGTAATTAAAAGTACGACGTTCAAACGTAAGGATATTCATAAATATACTTGGACATCGCCGGATTCGCAAACACGAAATCAAATCGATCATGTCTTGATACAACACAGCTGGCAAAGCAGTATAATCAATGTACGGTCTTATCGCGGAGCAGAATGTGGGTCGGATCATGAATTAGTAATCGCGAAACTTCGACAAAAACTTAATATAAAAAAGAGAAAAGAAAACCGTTTCGATTTTGAGAATTTTAATTTGGAAAAATTAAAAAATCCATCAATTAGAAACCAATTCGAGCTAGATGTTAAGAATAGGTTTGAAGCTTTAGAGCTTCCTGACGAGGACCACGAGGATATTGACAAGTTATGGGTAGAGATCAGGGATAATATTAAAGCGGTCGGTAACTCGTGTCTAGGAAAAAAGGAAAATAAGAATAACAAACCGTGGTTTGATGAATATTGCTTAAACATGTGCGAAAAAAGGAAAGCCGCTAAATTAAAAGCTCTAAATAATCCTAGCGAAGACAATCTGGAATACTTCCGAATCTCAAAGAACGAAACGACAAAATTGCTCAAAAATAAAAAAAGGGAGTATCTCAAAAATAAAATAATTGAAATAGAAACTAATAGAATCGAAAATAACGTAAGAGACATGTACAAAGGTATAAACAGATCACGTAAATATGTAGGGCCCGTAACGTCTGGAATTAGGGATGATAATAACAATATTCTGACCGATCCGGTTGACATATTGAATAAGTTTAAGGACCACTTTGACAATATTTTAAATACGGGAAATTATGATCTGTGTCCTCCTTCTGAGTACCAGAGTGCTGAACCGTTGATAGAAGGACCAAGTAAAGAGGAAGTTGAAGTAGCTATCGGTAAATTAAAATCATATAAAGCAGCGGGAATCGATAATATTCCTACTGAACTAATTAAGGCATGCGGGGAAGCTGGAGTTTCTAAAATACATCGCTTGGTTGAAAAGATCTGGGTGAACGAGAAATTACCTGAAGAATGGAAAGAATCTATTCTTATTCCGATTCACAAAAAGGGTCCGAGGACGGATTGTAATAACTATCGAGGAATTTCACTCCTTCCGGTATGTTATAAAATATTCACTGTAATCTTAACCAGTCGAATCACGGAATACGCCGAGGAAATTATCGGAGACTACCAATGCGGATTTAGACGGAATCGTTCGACTATTGATCAAATATTTTCTTTACGGCAAATATTAGAGAAAAAATTGGAGTATAACGGTATTGTTCACCAGCTGTATATAGATTTTAAAAAGGCTTACGATTCTATTGACCGCCAGAAACTGTATAATATTCTAATCGAGCAGGGAATTCCAAAAAAACTAGTAAATCTAGTCAGGATGTGCTTGACGGAGACAATCAATAAAGTTAGAATCGGTAATAATTTGTCCGAAAAATTTGAGGTTCGTTCGGGCTTAAAACAGGGGATTCTCTTTCGCCTGTCCTGTTCAATTTGGCATTAGAACATGCCATTAGGGAGGTAATGCGTACCGAGAAAGGGTTGGATCTGGGCGGGACAACATCCGTGCTGGGCTATGCTGATGATCTGGTACTGTTAAGCGAAGACGTTGAAACTATAAAACTAAATACGACAACGTTAATGAAAGCCGGTAAAGAACTAGGACTCGAAATAAACGTGGATAAAACAAAATATATGGTTAGCTGCAAAAATGGCGATACTACTGGTGATATCGATATAGATGGTAATATGTTTGAACAGGTAGATAAATTTAGGTATCTAGGTTCTACGATAACTAGAAAAAACGAAATTGAAGAAGAGATTAAAGTTAGACTGAAGGCGGGGAATGCTTGTTATTTTTCTGTGACAAAACTACTCAGTTCGCGCCTCTTGTCCCGAAACTTAAAAATTAGAATCTATAAAACAATTATCTTGCCTACAGTTCTTTATGGATGCGAAACTTGGCCGCTTACATTAAGGGATGAGCAGCGTCTTAAGGTTTTTGAAAATAAAGTATTGCGTAGAATATTCGGACCGAAGAAGGATGAGTTAACTGGAGAGTTCAGACGGTTACACAACGCCGAATTGCGTGAGCTATATCCGTGTAATATAATTGAGGTAATTTCATCGCGGCGAATCAAATGGGCTTGTAAAGTTGTTGGGCTTAGTAACGAGAGAATTCCTAAAAGGTTAATATTTGCTGTGCCGAATGGTAAGCGTCGGAGGGGTAGACCTAAGCGAAGGTGGGAAGATTGCATTAAAGCTGATCTGAAGGGACTGGGTTTGGACGGCGAACGGTGGAGGGAGGTGTGTAACAAGCGATTGGTGGTGTCGGCATCGAACCTTCGGGTTCGCTAAGCCTTATTATTATTATTAAGAGAAAGTAACTCTAAATTTCTCCTCCCCATTATGGTGTGCATTTACTTATTTCTATAGTATATTAACATTAAATTATTGTCTGATTTACTGTGCGAATCATTTGAAAGGGCCAGTCTATAATCAGTTGAAGGGGGCTAGTCTATTATTATTATTAAAAAAAAATGTAAAAATAGTTTTTGAATACTTCATGGTTGACTGTGGTGTACTATTGAGTAAGAAGATGGTCCAGGATGGCAGTCATAAAAAGACTAAAATAGTAACAAACTATCTTATTTAAAGCCAAAGTTTTGACCATACTTTACAGGCATTCTTCAGAGGGTTGTATGCAGTAGGGATTTTCAGTTGAAACTGAAACTCATGCAAAGTCGGTTCGAAACGTTGGCTTTAAATAAAATAGTTTGTTACTATTTTAGTCTTTTTATGACTGCGATTCTGGACCATCTTCTTAATCAAAAATAGTTTTTTTTTCTTTTTAGTGAGCATAAGATATAAAAAATTAAATATGACAATATCTTTTTAATAGTAACTAATCTAGTCATGTTTAACATTTTCATTTGAATCTTCCTCTCAATATCTCGGTTTTATAATTTAGGAACTGTTACACTTTTAAAAATATATATATATATATATATATATATATATATATATATATATATATATATATATATATATATATATAAATGAGAATTAGACTAATAACAGTAATATCAGTATTTCAAATTTTAAAAACATTTTAGTTATAATTATTGAAATGTTACTCCAATTATATATTGAAGTAAAACCCTTTAATAAACACACTATACCATGAAAAATGGGTTAGCCATATAACTATAAAATGTGAAATATACCTTTTTATCAAGAACGAATTCGTTGAGGGCCAATGAAGCGTAGATCACCGTGACAATGACTAAAATAAGTGCACAGTTGTACGCCAAACCCTCGGTATTTACCCAGATACTTTGGTTATTTGAGATCAAGAGCTTGATGCTCCATGGCAGTCCAAGGCAGAGAAGGATGTTAAAGGTATTTGCGCCAAATGCATTGCAAAGGGCCATAGTGTACTTCCCTGTAAATGATAATTATAATTTACTACTAGAATATTTTCAGTTAATTATCAATTGCCAGACTTGTAATAGCTTTAATGTATGCAGTCAGCTCCTCTTTATCTGAGGGATTGAGTGGCATGATTGCCATGGTTAACCCGCTTGTATAAAAAATCATTGTTGAACTAATGAAAGAAAAACATTATTTCATTGCAAATATACAATTAAATATATTAATTAATTTAACATAAAACATTAATTTGAATTAGTGATTCTTCATAAAAGAATAATTTAAGTTCTTTAAAGTAATATCTCAATTGTTTTTGGTTAGAAGGAAGACACTTTTGTTTAATCTACCTGTACTTATAAGATTTTTTTTTCAATTATGTTGTGATGGCATTCAACTTTTTTTTTTTGGCTTCCTCTTTCACGTCTTTTAGGCTCTACGGAGTTTTCCTGGTTCAGGGGGTGAGGGCGGGGAATTAATGCCAGAGTTATAAGCCCACGAGGCAATGACACGCGAACTCGTAATTATTTTTATTTAATTATTTTTTATCGGGGTTGCCAGGAGGGATGATGGCAACAAATAATCAGGAGTGTTCTTTTTCAAAAGCTATAGAACCATTGGCAAATCTCGGAGATGACAAGAAGTGACAGTTGCTTCTCTCCTTCAATGTGGAACAAATTTTAAATAAAGTAGAAATAATAAATTTCTGAGAAAAATATTAACATATTTTAAACATTCTGGAAAAAAAAACTTTTAAGAAATAAAGGTTTTGAATAATTTACCCTCTTCTGGTTATGCCCTTAAGTAGAACCTGACTGAATAATAATTTTTTTTTTTTTAAATCAATCTTTCATTACCTTTGTTCTTAAAGGATTTTATTCAAATTTGGTTAGTTTTTTTTTCAGAAAATACTCAATTTTAATATTTTCACTAATAAGTGTTTGTTGAATGATTTTACAAATATGCAAAATGGAAGGTCATTTGTTTAATCATTATAAGATATTTAATAACAAGTGTAATTACAAATATTGCATTCATGTATTTACTAAAAAAATCTATGACAATAAGCAGTTTAATAGATTTCCTGTTTGTTAGTTGAAATTTAAGTTGATTTCATGTGACAAAAACTGTGTATTGAGTCTGTCTTTTTCCATATAAGAAAATAGCCATAATATCTCAAGTATATAAAAACCTTAAATATACAATTTCACTTTCTTACAACTTCGTTTTTTTTAACTAGACTGCTAACACACACAGGCCATTTTGCAGGACTTGGTTATTTGGATTCAGGGGACCTCAAAACATGTATTTTCATTAAAAACTCAGATTCGAAAATTTTCACGGTCGCAATAATTTCCTTTACTATATATTACTTATACAGGTAAGTGAAAGTAAAAAATCAGTTTATTGAATACATGAGCCTGTACAACTTAACTAGTCAAAGGGTAATTAAATATATTTCCATATAATTTTGTTAAATGCCAATAACAACGTGTTGTCCTACTTCATCGTAAAATATGTTATTATATGAAGCTGTAGCTAAATATATAATCCCCTAATTGTGTTACTATAACAAAGAAATGAATAATAATGATACTTTTTATGTCATTGCTTTATATATTTAATGTAGTACACAGGCGAATCTACGGAAGGGAGGGGACTTTCAGGCTGAAGCCCTTCCTCCCCTCTCCCCCCCTCCGTCCCTAAAATAGTGAAACATAACTATGTTTTATGGGAAAAAATATAAAAAAATTATTTCTTAAAGTATTATTGTTCATGTAATTACATTTAATAGGACGTCAAGAATCACTTGAACACCATTTCATGTAGGTAGTTAGTTTTTTTTTTTTTCAAAGTAATTATTGTTATATATATGAAAAAAAAAATCTCAGGCTGAAGTCCCTCCCAAAATTAAATCATGGATCTGCTAGTGATTTAGTAATACCTGTTTTTGCTGCGCATATACTGGATAACAATTCAGGAATCCCTAAACCAAATCCAAGAACTGTGAGAGCCATTAAGGAGTCTGGTATATTTAAGTTGTAACCTGAAAATGCATAGTACCTCAATAATTAAGTGATGACAGAAGAACTGTAATGTATGAAAAGTCAAAGTTAAATTCTTACCTATATATATAATCATCCAAGTTGCGATGTAACTAACAACTGCTATCCAAGTTAATGACATAAATATTGCCAATGATGGATACTTCCTTGGAATGGTGATGTATAATATAATTGTTACCGGCCAAAATAACAAAGAACATAATTGCGTTAGCAATGTTTCTTTTTCTATTGAGGACTTGCCAGGTAGCCGAGCTTTTGAAACAAAGAATTATTTAATTTAAATTCTATCATGTATATTGGGCATCTATTATTATTAATTACATCATTTCATCAAAATTGTATGTAATGTATTATATACACTTACATTTATATTCTACATCAGCTTCATTGCAACTGCTATAACAATCTGTTCTTAATTCATAGTGCTTATCAGAACCTAAAAGTATAATTATTATTGGAATGATAAAAATGGTATAGGCAAAAAAATATGCGGTTAGGCATATTTTATTCCATACTTGAGTAACTGCTCAGTTCTAGAAAGGTGGCTGCAGAAAGTTTGCTATACTTTCTGCAGCCACCTGTCTAGAAGTCACTAATTTCGAAAATGGTGGCATCACTATCTATTTGGACAGTCAGTCGGCACTAAATTGGAGTCTCCCAAAGTGACTTCCAGACTGGTACAGGAATGTAAACAGGCTTTGGCGATACTGGCCTGCTCCTAGAGGATGGAACTACTGTGGGTTGCTGGTCACAAAGGAATTAAAGGCAATGAAAAAGGCGATGCCCTTGCAAGGAAAGGAGTGGACTTTCCTATTGTAGGTCCGGAACTTGCAATAGGAATATCCAAAAAGCATCAGCGGAAAGAAGTCCTTGATTTGATCTGGAAAAAAGCAGGTAAAGAATGGAGAGAATGCACTACGCTTAGACAAGCTAAACAATTTATCAAAAGCCCCTCTCCCTCCAAAACAAAGTTGCTGCTGGGCTTAACTAGGAAAGAAATCCGATTCATCATCAGAGTACTAACAGGCCACTGCAGACTTAAAGGACAATTAAAGATCTGTGGGATAGTGGATGATGAACTCTGCAATCTTTGCAGAAGTGCACCTGAAACTGCTCTTCATTTCATAACGGAATGTGACCGATTTGCGTCACTGGGATACAGACTTCTGGGAGCAGACAGAATCCAAGTATGTAAAGCTGCCTCCATAAAATGGCCCAATCTTTTGAACTTCATTAGAAGAACGAAAAGGTTGAGACATAGTTGGAGCTACAATAGAAAACAATTGGTAGTATCATCTTTAGGGTTTGCAAAAAGCACCAATAGGTCCACTTGCTGGACTAAGTCCTCCCACCAGTACCAGTACCACTATGATTTATGCTCCGTTCTCATGAGAACGAGGAGGCCTGTGGTTTGTGGAGGTATTTTATTTCTACAAACCTCAAAGTGGACTCTGTTACTGACCAAATAAACTCACTTTCGAAAGATTTGAAAGAAACTTAAAGTTAAATATTATTTTTCCATAGTTCTTATGCAACTAGAAACAACATTGTATTGGCCTGATTTCTTATAAAATTGTAAAGTTGTCTTGAAAATGTATACTCATCAAATTCTTTTAAAACTGCATTAAATTTGAAACCTTTTGTTGTATGACTTACTAGAGAGTTGGAGATGTCAAAGTTTATAATTGTGCATACCTGTTCCAAAAGATACCAAATGTTATTTTTGTAAATTGAGATTGAAGGTGCCATTGAATTTTGGAATTAGGAGTAGAATAATAGCTGCCTATAAGTGACACTTTGGAAACTGATCTCTAGGCGAAAGATGTAACCTTATAAAAAAAAAAAAACACTGATCTCTTTACTCACCCACAGTTTGGAGATCTGGTTCCCCAAAACAGAAGACAATAAACTTCAGACCTTCTAGAAAAAATTTTTTGTTGAATGTTCATCCCTTTTTAACAATAGAAGAGAATGGGAGCAAAGAACAATAGTCAAATTGATCTATTATGCTGAATCAACCCAGAATTTGGAGAGTTGGATGAGAAACAGAGAGGATGCCAGAAGACATTACACATAGATCCAAATTGCAAAGCACTATTTTTCCACTAAATTTCTTCGAAACCTTATTCAAACATTCCTATGCTGTGCCTTTCATAATGTTTTATTATAAGCATTTGACCCCAAACTTGAATGAACAATCCTTAAGAACTCTGTTGTTAGCTTCAAAACACGCTACCCAGTTATTATGAACAAATTTAATTCCTTTTTCGCTGACCCTCTTCCTTCTGCATTTTCATTTGAACTCTCACATTTCTCCTCCCTTGAAACCATGGTCGATCCTGATAAGTATTATTTCCTTATTATTTCTAATGAACTAAAATCTTTAGAACCAAAAACCTCCCTATATCCTAAAACTCCTTACTCTGTGGTGTTCCTCTATTCACTCCAAATACTAGATCTCAACCAATTAATCTATATATCATCTCCTTTCCATTCTTACTACTTCTTTTTGGAATTATTTGCCTCTATCTGGGATCTGCCCTCCTTGTGATCTAGTAGCAGCCACCAAAAAACTTCAAAAGGACTTAAACATAATCTGTGACTGGGCAGATGCGAACAAGTTGAAGTTGAATGCCTAGGTAATTTTGATAGGCTCCAGTCAGCTCCTTAAAACTCTTCCTAACATACCGACTCTGTTTCTGCACGACAATCCCATCAAATTCTATCCCGCCATTAAGAACGTTGGAATAACCTTGATCAAACCCTTTCCTGGAAACACCATGTATCTGATATTTCCTGCCATGCCTTTTCCATTCTAAAACGACTAAATTACCTCCGTCTCCTCTTTCCATTTGAAATCCGTAAACTCCTTATTACTTCCTTAATATTTCCTCATTTGACTATTGCTGTACGGTATATGGGGGTGTCTCCGTGGATCTCAAGGCGAAACTAAAACATTTGATGAATTGCCTTGTATGATTCATCTTCGGGATCCCAAGAGACTCCTCTATTTCCCGTTATTATGATGAGCTGAAATGGCTTTATCCTTCCTACCGACGTTAGTGTTTCCTAGCATTCTTCCTCTTTCAAGTCATCCATTCCCCGCTGTCCTTCATACATCTCCGAGCTCCTTCAATTCAAATCCTCTGTCCACTCCTGCAAAACCTGTTCCCGGTCTTCAGATTTGTATACAAGATCTCATTGAACCACTGCTTTCGACAGATCTTTCATTATTCGTTCCACATCCCTATGGAATTCTATCTCATCCTACATCCATCGCTCCAATACCCTCCCCACCTTTAAATCCGGCCTGTTCAATCACCTCTTATCTGTTCAGCTCTCATAAAATTGTAAATATGTATATAAATAATTACTTTGTTTTAAATACTTTATTTAATTTTTTTTTTTTTTTTAAATGAAGATTGAATGTAAATAATATTCTTTTCTTTTATTGATTCATTATATAAATCAGTTTATTTTGTAATTATTCTCTGTGGACCCAAAGCCCGATTTTTATCTCTGTACATTGTTCGAAAGGGACTTTTACCAAAATAAATAAAGCGTTATTATTATTATTATTATTATTATTATCATCTATAAGCCAATTCTCATCCACAAATTCCTTCAAATAACACTTATTCTGCTACCTACTTTATGTTCAAACTACTGCAGCTATGTAGAAATTATTTCTTTCTGTAATAAGAGTTACTACTTACAGATAATTATCTTGTAACATTATGTAAATATTTCAGGCTTACTTATATAATGTTAAAATATTTTTATTATTCTTAAGTGATTTAAAATGTTTTTCATTAATAAATATTCTTGTCCATTGAAAGAAATGTTCTAAATGTTTATTTACAAATAAGAATACTCCAAGAGTAAGAAAATACTGATAAAGTTCAGTACTGAAAAAAAAAAATAAAACTTACAGAGTGATATATGTGGAGAATTTTTTTCTTCTTCTTCATTTATCCAATAATATAACATCATGGTTTTTCTTCGCAAATATTTTTCCAAAAGCAATCCTAAAATATTTTACCATGACATATTTATTTATATAAATAAATATAGATTTATAATAAGTATGCATTTATTAAAATAACACATCTAAAAAATTCCCTATCATGAGTGACTTAAGTATTTTCTGCTAATATGCTGGATCCTTTATTACCTTTGCCATTAAAAACCAAGAATAATTCATAAATGGTAAAGAAAAGAATTATTCTTGGCCAACAGCTATGAATTTTATTATTTCTTGAGTGTTCAATTAATGACCTGACGACCTGAATGACTATACCTTTTTTAGATGATTTCTTAAAATCGCCAAAAAATTTATGTTAGCAAAACAGTTCTTCAATAGAGGGTTTAAAAAAATACTATTCATGATTAATATGAATGGATTAGTAAAGAATCGGAGCTCCATAACGTTATGAAAATTTTCGGTACTCACAAAATTTGGTAATTATAAAGCAAGTAATTACCTATAACATAGGCGAAGTATACAATAACCATGATGAAAGGCTTATACCAATGGACATATTCCCCATGGACACAAAATATTAGGCATGCAAGAGAAATGCAAAACATTAATGCATCTCTTGTCAATGGCCAAATATCTATTGGTTTTTCCTGAAAAAAAAAGTGTAAACTTTATTATTGTTTATCTATATTTTGTTACATTTGATTTATTTATATATAGAATACTTGTGAAATAGAATATTATTTTATAATTATAGTCAAATAATTTAGAAGTAAATATGTAACATAAATCTAACAAGGGAGGATTACCAACGTGGGGTGACCAATTTTGATCAAACATTTTATAATGATACTAGGTTGAAACATATTAGACCTATTTCCCACATAGAATTAAATTTGGAATAACAAAAAATTATCACAATTAAACATTATTATCCAATCAAAAATCAGCAGGAATTTAGGGTCCTATAAACTTTACCAATTAGCACAAACCAGAGTACCATAAACAAATTAGAGCTGAAGATATAAAATAAAAATATCTGAAAAGTTTTTTTCTATTAATTCCTTATGCAGGCTCAAAGTCTAAAAGTTATTGGTATAGTTTGGAAGAGCAATAATTCAGTTTTTCCAACTGTTGCAGTGAGGTTGAAATTGCATAAATTCATGAGGAGTTATGAATGATTTAGTGAACAGCATGAGAATTAGTGATCAAAGGCAGAAAACAATAATATAAGAAAATTTTAAAATACTATAATTTTTTTATTTTTGTTTCTCGGCTTCTAGTGCCCATTGACAAAAATACTCACGCTAGGGTTTTATATTTTTCTACCTAGTATCACCAAAAAATGTTTCATTAAAATCCTTGAACCAATGTCTATAGCCGATCCTTGTAAGATAGGAGCTGTTGGTACAAATCGTATTTAATGAATATTTCTAATTTCTATTACTCACATTATGAGATTTTGTTAGGAAAGCACATACACCAGGAATGATGAGACAGTTAAATGTCGCAGATCCCACTATGGCTTCAGCTCCCACCTCACCCTCTATCCAAAATGTGCTGACGAGACTTATGGCAAGTTCTGGGGTTGCAGCTGCAGCTGCCATAATGGTAGCCCCTATCACATCAGAAGTCACAGTCATTCCTAAAGAAGAAGAAAAAAAATCAGTGGGTCTTTGAAACTTGTAGGTCACTACTAAATTCAAAATTCCTCAATTACCAAACCTGATTACTATTCCACAATTCTACCAACTTAGTTGGTGGTCCTTGCTTTTAATTTTCTAAATGATCTATTCTAGAAATTTTTAATGCAACAATTCATTATTCTACGTTAATGTAATTAATATTTTTTAATGCAATGTGCTTATTTATTTTTATTTTAACATTGTATGCCATTTGCTGTAGCGTACCTAGCAAATTTGATGTATTAGGCATTACCTGTGAGTCTGCTTGATTAGTTTTTTCTTGTTATTGATGTAAGATTAGCTCCCTTGGCCATTTTCTTTTCAGTCTGTGTCGATCAGGTAACAGGGAACAGGAAATAGAAAGGACTAATGGATTGATGTGATTTAGAGTTGAAATATGAAATGAATTGTATTTTTCATGTATGTAGGATTTTACTGTTGGGATGTTTAAGTCTTTATGTGTAGTGTTATTTGAAATGTACTAAAGTGAGTTGACAATTTTTTGTAGAATTTTTCATTGTGTTGTTTGTATTTTATTTATCTGTTTGTTTTGCCGAACCCCAAAGTTATGTTCTGTATGTCTCAGTATGGTGTTGTAGATCAGTCCCTTGTTTCATAAGTTAAGTGAGGATCTGTAGTCCAGAAAATGTGAGAGTTGTTTATATCGACTAGTCAGTTCTTGTCTTTTTAATTTATTGTATATAATAAAGTCTTTTGTCTTAGTAGAGTCTGAGGTACTGCACATAGCTTTTTGAAGGCACTGGGTTATTGTCAATCGTTATGGGTGGATATGAGGCTTTCCTAAGAGAGAAAGTCAGATGAGTAGATTTGCTACTGTTAATTTTAATTTTCCAGTTTTGAAGATCATAGAGGTGGTTTTGTAGGGCAATTGATGTGATAGTAGGATTTTTTCGGGAAGAAAGATGAGTCAGAAGAATCTACGGAAACACAGAAAAACCTGTTAAGAAAGAAGGATTGAAGAATTAGAAAATAAGTAGAAGGTAAGCGTGGTTTTAATTTCCATAATAGGCGTTTGTGCCAGACACTATCAAATGCATTCTCTATATCAAGGAAGACAGCAGAGCAATAGTCCTTTTTCTCAAAAGCAACAGAGACAGTGACTTTTATCCGATGGCACTGTTGTACAGTGGAATGATAACAACGAAAGCCAAACTGGTGAATTGATATCACTTCACTACTTTCTAGGATAGGCTTTAGACAGTCCAGGACAAATTATTAGGCTAATCTAATTATTAGGCTAGTTAGGGATTACATTATATCCTTTAAATGTGGTATTTGGTTCATTTTATTATAGCGATACAACGAATGATTAAATTTCTAACAGAACAGAAACAATTAATTACAATTACAATTTCTCTATTAAGAAAACAATTTTAAAATTTTAATAGTCTTGTAGAATGGACTCAATCTCATAAGTATCTTGTTAGTTTTTTGTTTTGTTTTTCTTTTGACTCCAATGTATTTAATTTTATACTACTTTCATTTATCTATATATAATATACATTTATTTATTGAGATTTATTAATATTAATGTAGCAATAAGTAAGTGTGTTATCTGGTTGATTAATATGAGGTTGCTGATTTATGAAGAATATATTTATTTATAATTCTATACTGCCCAAAAATGAATAGGGATATTGTTGATTATGTATGATTTATTTTTCCTACTATTTTATTTTTATCGGAAAATAAATTGAAATTAATATAAAGAAGATTGTATTTCGCCTCAGGATATTTTGTAAAAGGTGTTTTTAAAAAAATAGTAAAATTAAATGTTTATGTGATCTTATTTTTATGATTGCGAATTGTTAACATTTTGTAATATGTAATCATTTGTGTAGGATCCTCTGTTGAGCACTACCTCTCTGCACTTATTGGGCATGCTGTTTATAATTTTGTCCCTGATTTCACAAGGAATTTCATACCATAAACATGGAAATACTACTGGCAGTTGTTTAAGATTAACGAGCTGCAGACGGTGGTCAAAAAGCCCTTCCTGCAGTGCATTCCAAATGTGCTCAGAGGGATTGAGATCTGGAGACTATGCAGGAAGGGAAAGGTGTGAAATGACTAGAATTTCGAGACATTGATGAACAACTTTTCCTCTATAGAGATTGCACCTTCCGTCCTCCTGAGCAGATTGCACCTCTAGACTACAGTGAAGGAAGCACAAACTGTGGCAGTGTACCCATCCCCTGTTCTCGGTTGACTTTTCGGCGTCTATGATCGCTGTAATTACAGATGCGCGACTCCATAACAGTATTCAGAGCTTTTTTTTTTTTTTGGATCCTTCCCTTTCTCACCTTCACGGGGTTTTCTCGGGCCATGGGATGCGGGGATACAAAAGACTCCCCCGACCGAAACCGGGACGCGAATTCGTGACTATTTTATATCAGTTGTCTCATATATCAGGTTGCCGGGCAACGGCAGTGCACACACATTAGCCGTTCGTCCACAATTCATTTTGGCTCTGTCGGGCTCTAGGGGTTGCTTCTTGCAGCAATACCAATATTTCTCTCACCCTTGGTGTCGTCAGGGATGCCCATCCTTCCCAAGGTCGATGGCGCGTGGACTTCCCTCTCCCTACCAAGAAGTGTTTTTGCTCCCTTCTTAATAAAAACAGTACAAGCGAAAGTAGAATTAGAAAAATCGTAGGTCATGTACAATTACACTTGCAGTGGTGTGGTCCAAGTTTTTCCCCTTGTTCACTTGATTGAAAATATTTTATTCAGAAAAATCATATATCTGTCGAAATGTGCACCCCTCAAAAACTCAAAATCCAGTAAAAATGTACCCTCCTCAAAAATTGTGATGGCGCATCCTTTATGGGCCCCCCTGCGTGCCGTCATGTGCTGAGAACCACTATCAGGTCTCCTAGTGGTACTTCTGGTTTTTCTGAATCTGGTTAAAGCTCAGAAGACCAAACTGTGAGAGACGCCAACTGTATCTGCGATATCCGCTTGCCGGTGTCCTTCACCTCTCATTCTCACGATAATATTACGAACTTCTTGTTCAATGTGATGTCTTTCCTTCGTTAAGTACAAAATTACTGCATGGAAATTGAGAAAAGTCGAAAACAACTGTTTATTTACAAAATGAGTATTTTTCATGTTGACTATCTTTCAGTTATGAATTTATTAAAAATAGAGAATACTTGTTATTTACTTTTTGTGTTTACCAAAAAATAAAAGAATCTCTAATAAACAAAAAAAAAAAAATTACGTATTTTTATTAAAACGAATAAAATAAGCATCAAGTAGATCATCAAATACTATTAATATTTTAGTAGAATATTTTTATTTGAAGTAATAGTGATGGCGTTTTTCTCCTGAAATTTGATTTTTTTTTATGAAATTCAATTTTTATTGTTTCTAAAAAACCTAATCCACTATTACTTGAAATATTTATAAAGATTATTTGGAAATGACCGTTCTGCATCAGACGTGGCAAATTTATAGGCACTTAAATTATCGGCTTATTTTGAACAAAAACTGTTTCAATCTTCGGCATTTTTTAACAATAATATAATTGTTGAAAAACTATTTTATTCTACTTTTTTAAGAAGATGTAAAAATTGCATGCTGCTAAAAATATTTCATGCCGTGTTTATGGAGAGAAAGAAATAGGTTTATAGTCTTAAATAACTTTATTATAGTTTGATTAAATTGATTTAAATAATTATATATTGTTCGTTTATTTCGAAAAGTCATATGAAATATACTTTAAGTGACATTCCTGAAAATTAAATCAGTAAGTAATATGATGTTTATGTTCCCTGTGAAACCAAACCACAGCATAGTGCACTTATTGTGACTAATTTTGAGTTATAATATTATAGGGTTTGTGTTGTTTTGATGCATTTTGTGTTTTTGCATTGGTAAATATGGCCTTAATTCATAAATATGTTATCTAATGTTTAACTTCATTAAAAATGCACGTGTCATTAAACGTTTTGCAATAGTCCAATTTTGGCTATAGGTAATTCATGCTCAAAGTAGAGTGGTCAGTGAAAGTAGGGCAGCGGTAATTACAGTATGGATAATCTTTTTATTACATCGAGTTTCGCATGTGATTGGCTGATTATTGTTTTTATTATGATGGTGCAACTTGCCTAATGCCACCCACTTCTGGTTACCCTTGGGGCGCAACACTCAAGAACCATTACCATCTTAATTGTCAATAATTAATTAATTAGGTAACTTAGCATTACCATTTAACAGGCCAAATAAGGTCCGTATGGACTTCAAATTTTGAATTTAAAAGGAGTATAAAAAAATTTTCATTCGATCAAAGAGAACAAAAGGAATAATCACGAGTTGTAGTTTGCCTTGAAACTTCAAGATAAACGTTTAATTTAATTGAGCTATTATCCATTATTTGTTGCTGCTATTGAATATATTGTATTATTCTACTGTTTTAATTACAACTATTGGAAGTTACACTTATATGATAATTATCGTAAAAGGAAGGATTTACAGCTGTTTTATCTAATCGAAATAGTCTCCACTACAATCAATGCATTTCTGCCAACGTGTAGTCAACTTTCTCATTCCCTGAGAATAGAATTTCCCATCTTTAGAATTGATAAAATTCAAAAACGCATTTTCTATTCCCTTTGTCCATTCAATTTTTTATCACGTAATTAGTGCTCCAGACGTCTATGAAAATGGCGGGAGGTCCGGAGAGTAGGGGAGATGTGGCAGAGTTTCATATCTATAATCCAACAGTTTTTATGACGTCTCACGTGAGACATGTGGCCGGGCGTTATCATGCAACGATATGGGCACCTTCCGATTGACCAGAGATGGCTACATTATTGCCAATTTCTGATGCATTGCATTAATTTGGTTACAATACGATTCCGCATTGATGGTTTCTCCAGGATTTAAGAAGCTGTAGTGTTTCAAATCCAACGAAGCCCACCAAACACGGGTAAGCTTGAGGTACACATGTGCCGCACTCAAACCACTGTTCAAGCGATAAGAAGAAAATGTAAAAACACATTTAAAAAAAATATTTTTTTTAATTTAAAATTTTGAATCAATCTTGGTACAAGTACAATATCGTTGGTGCCATGTAAAGATAAAAAATAGGAAAAATCACATGTTTTCAATTTCGTTCGTTAACCATAGTACTTCTTGTGGAAAAATTTCAAATCTAAACGGCAATCGGAATACGGAATCAGTAATGTCATTTTTACGGATTTATAACTTTGTTAGTTATTATTGTTGTCCAAATGTAAGATCAAGACAAGACTTAGTCAGTCTTGATCTTGCATCAATACTCTCTGGTCTTGGTCTTGTAGTTACCTATTAGCTTATTACTATTTACTAAACATGTCAGATCTAAGAAAACCGTCACAGAATAAGTGTATTTAGATGTTATATTGACATTAACATAGTGATATCCAACAAAATTAATAAAATTAACTTGGCAATACATTTAAGGAGTTGCAAAAAAAATATATATATATTGGTAGGCCTCTACTTTAGATGGAATGGAGTAGTAGTTGTAGAGTAAAGTCGATCTATACAATATTACAAATTATTTAAACAATAAATCTGGTTTATCCACTCACACTAATTTCATTGTTTTCAATTTTAATTATGTCCATTAAGAAAATCACATTTTAATTAGATTAATTTTCCTGAAAATCGATCTCAGAGAAGTGATTAGAGTACGATTTTTTTGATCAACTAATGCAATGTTGCATGCAATCAACTAATGGGCAAGGGAACGATTATTAAAATCTTTAACCGTCGTAAACTTTTCAATATATATATATATATATATATATATATATATATATATATATATATATATATATATATATATACATGTATATATAACATATTTTAATATATATAAAATAGTTTTTAGTGACCGATATTTTATTATACATATAAGGTGGAATGTCCGCAGAACACCTCCGCCGTGCGGGTTTACTGATACTGCGCCCTAACCCCAGATACGATTTTTGTTAACTGTTCGTTGTTCGCGGATGTAAGTTTTTAACTATTCTTTTCTTTAACGATTTCTTTCTTCCATACATCTTTTTTATTTGTACAATTTGTGAAATGGGGAGTTGGTCCTCCGTCAAGCGGATAGAGGGTTTTCCGAAGTATTACATACACAGGGTATCTCGTAAGTAGAGAAAATAAAGTTTGATAGTAGATATCAAGATCTACAAAAACGTTCATATAAACAATTAGCTAATTGCTAGCCGAAAAGTAATTTAAAATTTGTGTTGTTTTAAGCATCACGTTTTTTGTTAAATAGGAAACGAAAACTTAAATTTTTTTTTTTTTTGTCTATAAAATATGTATTTGCGCCTGTCAACAATAAGAAAAATATTTAATTTGAATAATTAAAAATCTCGATAGTAAACCAGATAAAATTTACTTTAAACGAAAGTAGAGTTTGCCGTAGTTAAAACTATTTAAAGAGGACTAGTGAGCACACAAACACAGCCAAGTTCTGTTTAAAAACAAATCCACAAATTATTTATCATTTTTTTGGCTACTTTTGAGGCCAGGGGTACTTCAAAATTGAAAATACAAACCTTTTTCCTCGGTGAGTTTCCTCAAAGGTGGGGATAATTCGAGCAAAATTAAATGGTGGGAAAGAAGAGAAAAAGTTAATGAGAATGAGATCTGTAAAACATGAAACATGCATGCATATAAAATATATTATATAATTTCTCAATTAATTAAATATGTTAAGATAAGAAAACAAAGAAAATCGACTTCTAAATCTTTACAATATTTATTGAATTGAAACAAAAGAGGTGAAATATATACATACGAGATTTAAAACATAAAGATAATACAAATGAGAAATTTAAAAAAAATGTCCTTAAAAATAAAACATGTATAAAATTAAACTTACAAAATTAAAGAAAAAATTCATTCAGTAAAAATAAATCCAAGAAAAAGAAATTAATTTAGTGAAGACAAATATTAACTAAATTAAAATGTCTTTGGCAGCGGTGAGAGAAGAAACGAAAAATATCGCAAGCTGGAGGCTATAGTTCCAAAGAGGTTATCTCTGGTCTTCAGCTAGTATTAAAGGCAATCGATGGTGGGGGAATCTGTAGGAGTATATATATAATTACATTATATTATATATTATACTATAACAATTGTTACCATTTATTTACTATAGTTTAGGATCTTGTTACTTAGTTTACTCTATTTATATAGTTTAATTTTCTTATTATCTCAATGTGCTTACTGTTTAATATTTCCATAAGTTTATTTACTCTGTTTATAATTTTTATCTAAATATTATGTAACTTCGACAATTTTCTATATCCTTTTGTATCTTGTCCGTTCTAGCCCTGAAGAAGATCTGCAAAGTCAGGTCGAAACGTTGGCTTGAAATAAAATACGTACTATTTTAGCCAATTTATGACAACCGCCCCGGAAATAAAATGGGCTTTAAATTCTTGAATTAATTCTTGAAGTCCTACTTATCCTAGTCTTATAATTACATGAACAATAATACTTTTAGAGAAAAGTTTTTACTATTTTTTTTTCATAAGACATGGTTATATTTTGGGCACCTCAGCCCGAAAGTCACACTTATGTAGATCCGCTTGTGTATATAGGTAAGTGAAAGTAAAAATACAACACAAATTAAATGACAGCACAATAATTTTGACGTATCGCTATATAGGTTATTACTTATCGCTATTGTTAGTGTAAAAGGTCGTACGTAGCAATTTTCCATGTTTATCCTGTCTGTGCCAAAGATGACATTTTGAAGTCTGCAACTGAAATAAGTAGTCTACAACTATGAAAAGGGAATAATGGAAAATGGCAGAAGGGGAGCATAGGGAAATAAAATATTAAATTATAATACAATAAATCGTAAATAAATAATCAGTTTTAAGAAATAATGTAAAAAACTCAATTTTTACGATCTTTTGCACTGACAGTAGCGTTATACTAATTCTACTGAAAAAGATGTAGTACAAAGTAAGCACCTGACTGTCTCATCGGTTCACCTATTTTCACGTTTTTAAATTATTGATGATTGTTTAGAAAATAATCTCTCAGCAGATACTGAAACTGCTAGTATTTAATATATTAAGAAAATGTTATATACTATATTACGAATCGAAGCTTAGTTAGGTTCAAAATTCAATTCAATCAATGAAATTGATATAAAAATTGTTATATCTGCAATAACACGCCGAAAGACAGATAAAAGTTATTTCGGCATATTATGATAAAAGAACGACTACAATATTCCTAGGAAAAACAATTCATAGGCACTGTAATCTCTAACTCACTCCCTCTTATCCTAAAAGGATTAACAGTTTTTTTTATATAATTCTAAATATAAGACGTTTAAAATAATACTATAAATAATAATTATTGATGGGATCAATAGTGTTTGCTGGGTAGGTATGTTACCACTACGTACTATAGAGATATTACTGTCCTTTTTTTAGAATAAAGAAACCTAACTAAATCCTGAATGAAAAATCAAAAGAGCTAAATGCAAAAATATATTGGTTTTACGAATTCTTTACAAACTAAAATTATCTAGTATTAGTAGGTAACTTTTTTCATTAATTTTTATTCACAAAATCGCCTTTTTTATTTTGTTTTTATTTAGCTACGGTACTGGTAAATGCTTAATTTTAAATTGTTATTAAAAGCGCAAGACTGGGCAACACTATTAGATATGTACATGTTATAGCAAGTTAATAATAATATAAAGCTTATATGGGGTAAAAATCACAATTGTTACCTTAATATGGCGCCTACGATATGTCAAGACTTCAGATTTAAAACTTCCTGGACTACGTCCGAATCCCAATTATTCATAATAATTAATTTGATATTCTTTCAGTGTGGTTGGCTCTATGGCAGAGAAATACTTCCATAATATACCCAGCTTCCAAAATGTGAGAAATTATTCACTTTTAGATTTCAAATCGAATTTATAGTAAGGAAATAATTACTGGTGGCTTTTTAGTGCACATATTAAAATGAATACAACTAAAAATAATCATTGTTTTTAAAACTGATGCTAAGTCTATAAAGAAGTGTTGTGAGGAGGGGACACAATAACATACTCTCACTGACAGATTCATGGGAGGGTGAGATGGGGGGAGGAGGGAGGGAGCTAATGCCTTCCCAAAAATAACTTATTTTTCATTGGTCCATATTCTTTTCTACGATTGATCGGAGCTAAATAATTAAACAATTCCAAAATGCGTTCTTTTTAAATATTACCGCATTAAATACGTATACGGATATATATTATCTTATATATTATTTCTCAAATATATATATCCTTTTTCCGGCTCTCAGGAGTGATGGATTTTGACGAATTAGGTATCAATAGAAAGGGAATATCACGTAAAGTGCGCGAATCGT